CCATTATAACAGCACAGGCCTCACTGGTCCTAGGAGTCCTCGTACTTTGGGCAGTGGACTTTCCTGGTGCTGTGACAAGAACCTGCAAGGCCCACTTCTGAACCAGAGCCAAAGCCCTGATAAAGTCCAGCCCCCTGAGGGGGTCAGTCCTTGAACCTGACGCAGTCCTGCCCATGGATGATGAGTAGCCCAGCCTATTCCAATGCTGCTCAGTTTCCACATTGACTTTAGGTCCTCTGCCGAGCACCATAGGGCTTCCCAAAGCCCATCACTTCCAAGAGGTTCTTCCTATGTAGGGCACTTAGATTAAGTGGCTGCACTGCATTGTGTGAAGGGTGGAGTTATGATGTTCTTTGTTATTGCCACAGCTGAGAATCAGCATGTCTATTAATAGAAACATTAATAGGAAGTGGGGAGGTTTAGAAAGCTCCCATATCCTGCCAACATCTCCATTTCCTCCCCACCTACATACACCCCAGGATGAGGAGGGAGGGAATAGCTCATAACTATGGATTTTGGCTGAGTTGGTTGGAATTTGAAGAGCCACTTTCTGTTCCCCAGACTATGGGAAGGCAAGATGGCAGGACACCTAGGGCCTATCAGCAACAGGCCACTTATGTCTTGGGTTTTGTATGCTTATGTACTATGATTTCATGATTTTGAAGTAATTAAGCTACTTTTTAAATAAGCTTCTGATTTGCAATCTTCCCACACCTGTCCCTTGTGAGTGAAGCTTTGTGGAATGTCTGGATTTCTAGCAGGAAGGGGACATCTATCTGAGGATCCCTGGTCTCTCTTCACTTCCCCAAGGAACTGGACATGTCCTTGAGCAGCTCATCTCCAGCAGGGTGGCCAGAAGCTCAAGGTGGAGGGGAGGGTTTCTCAGATCCATATATCTTCTGATGTTAAGGTCCTCCTCCAATCCAGAAGAGAAGAAAGACTCTGTGGAGGAGTTGAGGGTGGGGCTAAGGAATGAGACCAGAGTCCTGGTTATATTGGGTGAAGTGGAAGGAAGATAGCAGGAGATGGCAAGCAGAGCTCGCTCTCTGCACAGGGCAGATGGCTACCACTGTGAAGTCTTTGAAACTGTAAATCAGCTATCTAAAATATGTTCAAAGACCTAAAGGAAACCATGTCTAAATAACTAAAGGGAAGCATGAGAATAATATCTTACCAATAGAGAGTATCAATAAAAAGACATAAATTATAAAAAAAAAGAACCAAAGATAAATTGTGGAGTTGATGAGGACGATAATAAAATTCACTAAAAGTACAATGAAAAATTCACTAGAGGGTCCTAATAGCACATCTGAGCAGGCAGAAGAAAGAATTAGTAGGCTTGAAGATAAGGCAATTGAGATTATCCAGTCCTAGGAACACAACTTTAAAAAAATAAAGAAAAATGAACAGAGCCTCAGAAACCTGTGGAATACCATAAAGCATGCCGATATATGTATAATAGGGTCCTAGAAGGAAGGGAGAGGGATAGAGTGGCAGAAAGACTATTTAAAGAAATAATAACCAAAAACTCCACAAATTTGTTGAAAGCCATTAATTTATACATTCAAGAAAGTCAGCCCAACTGCAAGTAGGATGAATTCAAAGGGGTCTGTTGCTAGACCCATAAGAATCAAACTATAGAAAGACAAAGAACTTTGAAAGCCGCAAGAAAGAAGCAATTCATCACATACAAATAATCCTTAATAAGATGAACAGCTGGCTTCTCATCAGAAACCTTGGTGGCCAGAAACAGCGGGATGGTAAAGTCAAAGTACTGATGGGGAAGAAACCCTGTCAGTCAATCAAATGTTCTATATCTGGTCAAACTATCTTTTAAAAATGAAGGAGAAATTAAACATTTCTGTTTTTTTTTTAATTTATTAATTAATTAATTTTTTTTTATCACAACCATAGTGTATCTATTACTAGAGATAATCAACGAATACAGTAAAGTTGCAGGATATAAAATTAACACACAGAAATCTCTTGCATTCCTATACACTAACAATGAGAAAACAGAAAGAGAAATTAAGGAAACAATACCATTCACCATTGCAACAAAAAGAATAAAATACTTAGGAGTATATCTACCTAAAGAAACAAAAGACCTATACATAGAAAACTATAAAACACTGATGAAAGAAATCAAAGAGGCCACAAACAGATGGAGAAATATACCGTGCTCATGGATTGGAAGAATCAATATTGTCAAAATGGCTATACTACCCAAAGCAATCTACAGATTCAATGCAATCCCTATCAAACTACCAACGATATTTTTCACAGAACTAGAACGAATAATTTCACAATTTGTATGGAAATACAAAAAACCTCGAATAGCCAAAGTAATCCTGAGAAAGAAGAATGGAACTGGAGGAATCAATCTGCCTGACTTCAGACTATACTACAAAGCCACAGTCATCAAGACAGTATGGTACTGGCACAAAGACAGAAATATAGATCAATGGAACAGAATAGAAAGCCCAGAGATAAATCCACGAACCTATGGTCACCTTATCTTTGACAAAGGAGGCAAGGATATACAATGGATAAAAGACAACCTCTTTAACAAGTGGTGCTGGGAAAACTGGTCAACCACCTGTAAAAGAATGAAACTAGAACACTTTCTAACACCATACACAAAAATAAACTCAAGATGGATTAAAGATCTAAATGTAAGACCAGAAACTATAAAACTCCTAGAGGAGAACATAGGCAAAACACTCTCCGACATAAATCACAGCAGGATCCTCTATGACCCACATCCCAGAATTTTAGAAATAAAAGCAAAAATAAACAAATGGGACCTAATGAAACTGAAAAGCTTTTGCACAACAAAGGAAACTATAAGCAAGGTGAAAAGACAGCCCTCAGATTGGGAGAAAATAATAGCAAACGAAGCAACAGACAAAGGATTAATCTCAAAAATATACAAGCAACTCCTCCAGCTCAACTCCAGAAAAATAAATGACCCAATCAAAAAATGGGCCAAAGAACTGAACAGACATTTCTCCAAGGAAGACATACAGATGGCTAACAAACACATGAAAAGATGCTCAACATCACTCATTATCAGAGAAATGCAAATCAAAACCACAATGAGGTACCATTACACACCAGTCAGGATGGCTGCTATCCAAAAGTCTACAAGCAATAAATGCTGGAGAGGGTGTGGAGAAAAGGGAACCCTCTTACACTGTTGGTGGGAATGCAAATTAGTACAGCCACTATGGAAAACAGTGTGGAGATTTCTTAAAAAGCTGGAAATAGAACTGCCATATGACCCAGCAATCCCACTTCTGGGCATACACACCGAGGAAACCAGATCTGAAAGAGACACGTGCACCCCAATGTTCATCGCAGCACTGTTTATAATAGCCAGGACATGGAAGCAACCTAGATGCCCATCAGCAGATGAATGGATGAGGAAGCTGTGGTACATATACACCATGGAATATTACTCAGCCATTAAAAAGAATTCATTTGAATCAGTTCTAATGAGATGGATGAAACTGGAACCCATTATACAGAGCGAAGTAAGCCAGAAAGATAAAGACCATTACAGTATACTAACACATATATATGGAATTTAGAAAGATGGTAACGATAACCCTATGTGCAAAACAGAAAAAGAGACTCCTATGTATAGAACAGACTTGTGGACTCTGGGAGAAGGCGAGGGTGGGATGTTTCAAGAGAACAGCATTGAAACACGTATATTATCTAGGGTGAAACAGTTCACCAGCCCAGGTTGGGTGCATGAGACAAGTGCTCGGGCCTGGTGCACTGGGAAGACCGGGATGGGGAATACATGTAAACATTTCTGGATAAACAAAACTGAGAGTGTGTCTCTAGCAGACTTGCCCTACAAGAACTACTACAGAAATAAAGCATACTAAATAGGATACTAAAAAGATACTAAAAGGATACTAAATACTTCAATCAACATGAAAAAATAATGAGCACTGGTAAAAGTAATTACATAAATAAAGATGATATAAACATATTTTTCATTTGTAACTCCCTTTTTCTGACTTAAAAGACAATTGCATAAAACAATAAATAAAAATCTCTGTTGATGGGCATAACATGTATAAAGATGTAATTTATAATAATAACAACATAAAGGAGGGTGGAATGAAATTATATAGGAATAAATTTTTTATATTATTGGAATTAAGTCATTATTAATCCAAACTGTAATAAATTGAGATATTAATGGTGACCCTCGGGGCAACCACCAAGAAAACAAATAAATTACACATTGCAAATAAAATTACAAGAGAATTACAGTTGTACACTAGAAAATAACTAACACAAAAGAAGGCAGTAGTGGAGGAATATAAGAACAAAAAAGACATATGAAATACAGAAATAGCAAAATGGCTGACATAAATCATACTTTACCCATCACATTAAATATAAACAGATTAAACATTCCAATTAAAAGGCAGAGATTGGAAGTAAAGAAAACATGAACCCATCTACACGCTGTCTACAAGAGACCCACTTTAGATTCAAGGACACAAATAGGCTGAAGGTAAAAGGACAGAGAAGATATGCCATTCAGAAGATGTATCAACCAAAAGGGCCAGAGTGGCCATACTAACATCAGACAAAATAGTCTCTAAGACAAAAATTGTGACTAAAGACAAAGAAGCACATTTTATGATGATAGAGGGTCAAACTGTCAGGAAGACAAAACAATTATAAACATATAGGAACTTAGAGCCCAAAAGTACATGAAACTGTGTACAGCAAACTGTGATCTTTAGGAGGAGTACCATTTCCTTCTCCAGGACATCTTCCTGACCCAGGGGTTGAACCCGGGTCTCCAGCATTGTAGGCAGACGCTTTACCGTCTGAACCACCAGGGAAGTCCCATAGGAGAAGCAGCTCTGTCTTAAATATTTGACCCCATAACCCATTATGGTGCTTAATAGTCTACCACTAGGGATTTACTCCTTTGGGTTCAAGTATGCCTTTCTTAGAGTTCTTTGTTAAAACACAAATATGGCCCTGAACACCACTGGCATGAACACCTTAGCTGAAACTGGTTTAAGATGCTTTGGAGTAGGGACTGCTAGTGACAGAAACAAAGGGTTGAGACGTCCCTGACGGAGGACATAGGTGTGGCCTGGAGTAGACCTGGGCGAGGGGAGACTGGAGGGGAGTCCAAGATTGGGCAGAGGCGTGAACACTGCGGAAAGAGCAGTACAGGGCAGAGGAGAGGTGGGAGAAAGCCCGGAGGAGCAGAAAAGACCCCAAAGGGGAAGTGCGCGCTGGACAAGGAGCAAAGCCATGAACTCTGCCGGAGTTCATGGGCAGAGGTAGCAGCTGACATGGGAGAGGCCCCAGCAGTCAGAATGGGAGCGGCCAGCGAGGGGCCGGGGATGGTGACACGCACAGGGCATCCCCGGATAAGCGCCGGGAGCACAGGGCACCGCCGCGTAAGGCCCGGGAGCGCGGGGCACTGCCGGGTAAGGGCCAGGAGCGTGGGGCATCCCCGGGTAAGTGCCGGGAGCACCGTGGCAGGGAGGGAAGGTGGCAGGATGAGGGCTGAGTGGAAAACCAGGAAGCCCAGAGGACAAAGATGGGCAGGGCCAGGAGGTCACACCAGACACGAGCTCAGAAGTCGGGCAAAGAGCCGGACGAGCGGAAACAAAAACAAGGTGGTGTCTGGGAGGCGCCCAGTTACAGGAAGAGGCTTAGTGTTGGCTATGAAACCGAAGCAAGGCAAATGTTCTGGGCAGAAACCCGACCTGACAATGACAATAGCCCCTACTTGTCAGCACCTATGTGTTCCAGGCACTTCACATGCACTGCCTCCCACGGTACCCAAAGCGTTCCTAGAGGTCCACGTGGAAACCTGTCCACAGACACACAGGAAACCTGCTTAAGTGACTTGCTCAGAGTTATTCCCGCAGCAAGGGGTCGGAGCAGGCAGGCTTTGCTGGCACCCTATGCTAGGCTCCAGGCTGGGCTGGTGTCCAACAGGGTTGCTTTAAAGGAATAAGGGGCAGACTTGTGGACTCTGGGAGAAGGCGAGGGTGGGATGTTTCAAGAGAACAGCATCGAAACACGTATATTATCTAGGGTGAAACAGATCACCAGCCCAGGTTGGGTGCATGAGACAAGTGCTCGGGCCTGGTGCACTGGGAAGACCCAGAGGGATCGGGTGGAGAGGGAGGTGGGAGGGGGGACCGGGATGGGGAATACATGTAAATCCATGGCTAATTCATTTCAATGTATGACAAAACCCACTGCAATGATGTAAAGTAATTAACCTCCAACTAATAAAAATAAATGAAAAAAAAAATAAAGGAATAAGGGGAAAGGGGTAGCTGAGATCCGGGGACACAGAAGTTCTCAGAGTCTCTACAAAGTCCCCGTACACCATGTTTTCTCAGGTGGGCAGGGGGAAGGGAGCCGCGGGGGCCTGACCACCTTCCTGCCCCTCACTCTGCCTGGATCCCTGAGGACTGGTGAGGATTCACCCCACGGGCTGGCAGGCCAGGCTCTAGGGTCATCCCACCCTACTCAAAATCCAGGCTAGGGATGAGGGGCTGCGGATAAAGGCACACACACAGACACACAGACACATACAGACACTGCTGGTGACCATCTCACTAGTGAGACACCAGCAGTCCCCTCTCTTAGGGAAAGGACCTCGTGTGAGTCCCTCCACTCCGGGGCTGGGGGGCCAGAGTCCATCAGATGATAAACACAAGCCCTCTGAGCAGGAAGAGCCCCCCAAAGCCCTTCTGTTGCTGATGCCACTCGGGCCCAGAAGGGAGCAGGACTGCTCAGGATCCTGGGTGCCTCCTGGCACTCTGCTGGCTCTTGTCACCTGCCCTCTGGGGACTCCCAGGTGCCTACAAAAGTGGACGAGACAGAAAGCCTGAACAAAGGAAGCTGGCGCTTGTCTGCGGCCTGTGGCCTCTGACCCTCTGGCCGGTCTGGGCCGGAGGCCATAGGCACACCCTTGGGGGCTCTTGGCCCGTGACTGCCCCCTACCCCACCCAGCTGGCTGTGTGCAGCTTTCTTGAATCATCTTCTTGGTGGCTTGCGGACGCTTTCTGTCCCCTCTCTTCCTGCATGCCCCAGGGCATGTGGACCTCACCCACTTTCCTATGTGGGGCTGGGGTCTAGCCCTAGAAGGGTCAGTGGCAGTGGCGTTCATGATCTTTGCCTCCAAGCTTCCAGTCAGGGTGAGAGTGCCCTCACCAGTCCGGGATTCTAGTCAGTGACGCTGGAGCGCTGCCAAGGGCTGGGACCTCGGAAGCCAGCGGACCGGACCACACGCCAGCCCAGATCAGTGTCTTTCCTCCAAGCGCCCTGTTCAGGGGCTGTCACAGGGGTGCCGAAGCCAGCAGCTACCCTCTGCTCACCGCGCAGAACCCCCACATGTCAACATCACAGCCACACTTGAAAAAAATATAGCCTTCTAGAAAAGTAAAATAAAATGAAGTCAGTAACTACAGACCCGAGGTTGGGCCTCCCTGCCTGCCTGTCAATCTACCCTGCTACCCTGATAATCACCAGGTACAATTCTTGAAGAGCTATTTTGAGAAACAGTTAGAAAATGGCTTTTCTATGGCTCTGTGTACCTTCCTGATACCCTCAGACATGGGCGCTCTGCTTAGCAGCAGCTGGCTTTGTTGCCCAGGTTTTCTTCTCATCTCCTCGTCAAAGTTAAGCAGTTGGTCAGCCCACTCCCTGACACCCGGCATACACTGATCACCCACAGTCCACCCTGTGGAGTCAGGGGAGCAGGTGGGTGGTCGGGGGGGAAGGCTGTGGCTTTTGTAAGGTGCAGCTCCAAAGAACCCATGGGGATAAACACCGAGGCCTGGCAGCTGCTGAGAGAGAAGGGGCCCTGAAGCTGGGGAAGGAGCGGGTCCCCTGGGGATGACGGTGCAACAGGAAGCAGGTATCTCGGTTTGATGGACTCAGCACCCGTAGGCACCTCAAGGCCCATGAAGCACATGCCAAGGGTGTCCACTGGCATCCAGAGAACAGGCTCCGAGCCCAGACCGATCGCCCAGCATTGCCCAGTCCCGTGACTTTGACCTACAGGAAGCTGCCAGTCTGCCCCGCACAGTTGCCATGGCAACGTCAGTGCCAGGCTCCTAAGAGCAGGGTGGGGAGAAGGGAGGTGGAGAAGGCACAGGGTGGCTTTTCTAGAAAAGCCAGGAAACCAAGGTGGGGGAGAAAGAAGGATGGAAGCAACACCTGGGTCCAGACAGAGCAGAGAGGGAAAGACCCCGAGACATCCAGAGAGCAGCTCTCCTTGGGGTTGCACTTTCCTTCCACGGTGGTGGGGGGACCATTGCCGATGGAGACAAAGGTCCAGTGGGTCTTAGTGGGGGCATTCGTGCAGGAGCCTGTGTGCAGGAGGCAGGGCGGCCCCGTGGCCTCAGGTCCGGGCGGGAGGCCTGTATCAGCCACAGCAGGCTTTCTTCTTGGCAGGGCGGTCAACCTGAATGGTGTCCTCCCGCACTGTGTCTTCTTGCTCCTTGAGGATTCTGGGGGAGGGGAAGGTGGAGGGTCAGCAGCAGAGGAGCTGCTGGGATGGACCCAGCCTCCCAAGAGCATCAGAGACAGTGCTCCAAGTCTCCCCTGGCACAAGCACAGGTGCACAACTGTGATCTGTAAAGCTAAAGTTGTAATCAGTATGGATCCTTCACAACACCTCCTCCAGTCAGCCTCTCCTGATGCTCTGGATAATGTAAGTGCCCGCGGTAGCACTTGGGTCCATCCTTTATTACAGTCCCATCACTGCTTCTCAGCAGAGAGTGAGATGCTAATGATAGAGATTGTATCCTTTGTCTCTGTGTCTCTGAAGCTTATCATGGTACCCAGCACCCAGCAGAGGCTCAAACACTATAATTATTGGTTATTAACTTTATGGAGAGGCTTCCCATGTGGCCAGAGCTCCAGATTAACTATGAGAGGTGAAGGATCAAAAATAGTGTCAGGGATCTTATCCCTGCTTTATACTCTCCAAGAACTTTCACCAGAAGCACCTCTACCGATTTTCACAATGTAAGAGCAGAGAAGGTAGGATGGATGTTCCCATGCTTGAGGCAAAACCCTGGGAGGCAGGGCGACTTGCCCTGGGAATCAGTGGCAGAGAAAACCCTAGAGTTTTCCCCATAAATCCCTAGGTCTTCCATAACTCCACAATGTCTCCAGTGCATCGAATAAGTTGTTCTGTGCTTTTAATTATTAAAAAAATAAAATATCTTTTAGATGCTCCAGAATGAATGCTCAGCATGACGTAAGCACTAATCAGTATCTGCTGGGTGGGTTGATGGATGGGGATGGATGGATGGATGGAGGGATGAAGAGATGAATGGATGGATGGATGGATGGATGGGTGGATGGATGGATGGGTGAATGGGTGGGTGGGTGGATGGATGGATGGATGGATGGATGGGTGGGTGGGTGGATGGATGGATGGATGGATGGATGGATGGATGGGTGAATGGGTGGGTGGGTGGATGGATGGAGGGAGGGACAGATGGATGGCTGGGTGGGTGGATGGATGGATGGAGGGAGGGAGGGAGGGATGGAGGGATGGATGGAGGGAGGGAGGGAGGGAGGGACAGATGGATGGATGGGTGGGTGGGTAGATGGACAGATGGACGGATGGATGGAGGGATGAGTGAGGGATGAAGGGATGAAGGGATGGATGCCTAGATAGATGAATGAGTGAATGCCCAAGGATTGAGACTGGGGCCTATGTGGTCCTGTTTCCTTAACCTTAGTGTAGGTAGAGGCTTACAGCACCAGTCCTTTGAGCGCTGTCTTCTAGGGTACCTCTGTGTCCCCCATCACAGCCCCTCTCCTTGGCTCCCCTCCCCCTCCAACAGGAGTCCACAGTATAAACCAGCTGGCTGCCGACTAATCCTTGCTAAAACATTAGGCAGCATTGAGAGGCCTCTGATCTGACCTTTCCCAAAGCATTTGCATTTAAAAAGAGGATCTCTGGGAAAGGGCAGGCAAGCAGCCTTTAAGACTCAGAAGATAAAGACTGCAGTGGGGGGAAGGGGGTAGGGGGGTGACAGGCACGGAGGCTCTCTTTTTGTCATTGTGTTTCAGAGGTCTGTCCCTGACCCTGGGGGCCCACACAAAGGCCTAGGGCTCCAGCCCCTCTATCCAGATGGCTCAGACAGACAGAGGGGGTTTAGGCAGAGAGAGGGACCGCTGAGTAGCATCTCATTACCTGGCCAGATGGAGCATCGACTCCTCCGAGTTGTGACCGGAATAGGCACTGCATTCATAGAAGATCAGGTTGTGTTCCTGGAATCAGAGGACAGAGGGCGTGAAGGAGAATTGTGGGGGTGGGGGGACGGAGAGAGCCTTGGGTCGGGGGAGAATGCCCGTCTACACCCGCCGCACCTTCACTTCCTCGTGCGCCCTCCCCACTCTGGACCAGGCTGAGTTCTGTCCCTCGGGCTCCCTGACGGATGCAGGTTCCGGAACCATCTCCCAGGGGAGCCATAAGAACTATAAAACAACACAACCTACGCTGCTGCCTTAGTGCTTCACACTTTCTGGAATTGCTGTCTGGGGTGTACGGGCTCCTTTTTTTTCTCACACCAGCCTGCGATGCAGGCCAAGACTCAGAGGCCAGGGTGGATGGCATCCTTTCTGCTTTACAGGCAGGGAAAGTGGGGCTCAAGAGGGTACAAATGGTGGGTGAGCCTGTTCAGGTCTCCACCGGGCTCCCAGCAGCTCACTTTCCCTGGCACATGGGCGCAGTTATTAATAATTCACATACCAGTTAACGAACACTCTGGCTGCCTGTGCTGTTGGCCCTGGGGCACAGGAGAACTGTCCATCACCTCCCCAGGCGGAGGGTGGACTGTAAGTGTGGGGACAGGGGGCTTGGCCAAGCCTCATCCTATTCCGTTTATCACTCCCATTAACAGGCTTCCTGCTTTGTAAATGACAACACTAATGGCATCTGGCAGGAGCCCTGGAGGTTGACAGCCTGGGGGACAGGCAGCTGGGTGCAAATGCATCCACAGCCACAGATCAGGAGGCCCCAAGAATGCTGGCCCAGCTCCGTCCTCTGCCTTCACCGGGTCTGGCCCCCGCACACCTCTGTCCTGACTCCCCTTCAGTCCATGGAAGGATGAAGGCTCCATGGTGGGGGCGGGGGAGCAGGGAACACATAGACCTAGAACTGGAAGACATGATTTGCCCCTTAGCTTCAAGCCCAGACCCCACCACTGAGGATGGGTGATAACTGAACAGATCACTTAACTTCTCTGAGCCTTCTCTTATTTTCACTTACAGAAAGAAAGAAAAATAAAATGGAATGATAAAAATACAGATCTGCAGTTCCTTAATCAAAATCCTTGGATCCAGGTGTATTTTGGAGTCCAGAATTTTTAACTTTTAGAAAGATAATAGTGTTAGTCACTCAGTCATGCCCGACTGTTTGTGACCCCATGTACTGTAACCTCTGTCCCTGGCATTCTCCAGGCACGAATACTGCAGTGAGCTGCCATTCCTTTCTCCAGGTGATCTCTCAGACCCATGGATGAAACCTGGGTCTCCCGCATTGCAGGCATTCTTTACCATCTGAGCCACCAGGAAAGCCCAGAAATAAGGACAAGAAAGATAATACTTGTCCATAATATATAGTACATAATAGCCTCTGTGGATATACAACAGCACCCTATAATCAAATATATTAATATTTCTTCAGTGAAACATTTGAACATTCATTCGAAGTGAAGTAAACAAAAACCAAAAAAAGCCCCAATTGCAGTCCTGGTCAGGTTCTTCTGACAAATGAAATACAAAAAAAACCTTTGTGTTTGGAGCACTTTGGACTGGGAATTGCGGATGTGGCCCAGGGACATGCAGCTGCCCGCTGACCACACAGCTGCGGGACCTTCCTCCTCCTCCTCCCGTGAATCTCACCCCTGTGCTTGCCTGCCCAGCCCCAGAGGCCATAAGTGCCTGTCTCGAGCAAGCCCGCCAACACTTATGGGATCCTGGGCCTTCAGAGCACCAGCTCCACAGACACATGGTTCCCAGAATCTGCCACCAAGGGAGGGAAAGCAGGCCACCAAGAGTGAGCGTGGTTTGTGTTGCTGCCCGATTTCCTTCAAGCCACACTGGTTCTCTGCTTGGGTGAGGGTGCTGGTGCTTATTTTAACGGTCCACTTTGCAGGGCCTGCCTTGAGTTTGTCTGGAGTCTGCAGCTTGGAGGCTCAGTCTTGGTGGGAAGGAGGGATGCTCTAATAGGAAGAACATGCTCCAAGGAAGAGCACACTGTCTGGCAGGAAGTGAGCGCGTCATCTGTGAAGGTGAGCAAGTCAAGAAACACAGATGGATGGGACTCAAGGATCAGCTGGGGGGCTGAAATAAGGAACCTCCTCCTAGCGGAGGGTTTGGGCTTCCCCAGTGGCTTTGTAGATAAAAGAATCTGCCTGTATCTCCTGCATCGCAGGCGGATTCGGGAGATGCAGGCAGACTGGGGTTCGATCCCTGGGTCAGGAAGCTCCCCTGGAGGAGGAAATGGCAACTCATTCCAGTGTTCTTGCCTGGAGAATCCCATGGACAGAGGAGCCTGGCGGCTACAGTCCATGGGGTCACAAGAGTCCGACACGACTAAGTGCGTGCGCAGCCGCAGCCTCTGAGGATTCATAATTCTGAGTTCCAAGGAAGAGAATTTGGGAAATTCCCCACACCCAAGGCAAGTCTGTCTTGCAACCTTGGTTCTCTGCACAAAGTTCCATGTACACAGAAGCTGGACTCCCCCTCCCCACCCCTGCCCTGATGCCAGGACACCATCTGGCCCACTTGCTTCCTTCCCAGGGGCCTCCCCAAGAAGGATCCCAGCCCAGCTCTGGGGCACATGCCCGACACTCCTCGGGCTCCCTCTCCGTCCAGAGAGACAGGATGCTTGCCCCTCACCTTGGCCAGCTGCTCTCCCAGGCCCCGCGGCACTTCTCGCTCTGTCTCGTTGTCAATTTTGTTGCCCAGCAGAAGAACAGGAATGCGGTCTCCCACAGCTTCCTGTGGAAAAGATAATCCCCAACTGAGATATACATTCTTAAGGAGAACCTGGAAGGGCAGGTGAAAACATTGGCTGCAAAGACTCTAACTGGCTTGCGAACTCTCTGCTGCCACAGAGGTCGGGTGATAAGACAGTCACCCCAAAGTGGAGAGGGGACCTCGGTCTCTCAGAACCTCAGTTTGCTGGGTTTCTGTGAGTGCCTGAGGCTGCCTCTGGTGCCTCCCAGTCCTCTGTGCAGGGAACCCCCGCTCTGGCCTGCTCGTCGGGTCCTAGATGGAGCAGAACGAGGGCCCAGTTGATGCTGATAAAATAAGGGTCTGTACACAGCCCCCACGGGTATTCCCAGGTGACCAGATTTGGTTGACATGATCGAATGAAAAGGAGTTACTGTAATGGGCTTAGGAGGTGGTCCAAGGGCTATGCCGCCAGCAGTGGCACCTCTGGGGACCTTGAACTTGGCACATTGCTCCTCAAAGGATGGGTCCAGGGTCCGATTCATGGTCCTGGGCCCACAGTGCCTGATACATGGCTGTCGTATGCTTCCCTGGAGGTCACCCATGGGGATCCCTGTCCTGGGTACCCTGGCTCTGAAGAAGTCCCAATCAGGAAGAATGGGGCCTGAAGCACCCACAGATCATGGGCCAGAAGAACAGGTTAATTTGAGGGCTCAACCCTACTTACTCCTCCAGCTGCTGTGATGTATCAGCTGGGGACTTGCACCCCAGGATCCCTGCACTCCAGGGTCCCTGCATCCCCGGCTCCCCACACTCCCAAGCTCTTTGCACCCCAGGTCCCTGCACCCCGGGACCCCTGCACTCCAGGGTCCTTGCTCCCCAGGATTCTTACACCCCAGGTCCCTGCACCCGAGAGTTCCTGCACCCCAAGGACCCAAGACACGCAGGGACTGAGTCAATGTGGTAATGTTCACATTCACTCAGGTTGTTGTTTTTGTTTTGTGAGATATTTAATTAGAGCTTTTAATCATAATTCGGTAACAACTAGTTATTCACTGCAGCTCTGTGTTTCACTAAGCAGAGAGGGCCGTGGGATTCTGGAAGTCAGCCAGCGGTTACAGGGTCACCAACAGTTCAGCTGTCTTACCCTAGACCCTGTCAAGCAAATGTCCATGATCCCTCCAGCAGGACATCCATTTGAGTTTAAACGTCATCACATTTTAAATGAAGCTTCCTGGTTCTTCAGTCTACACATTCCTTTTCATTGCAGTTCAGTAGTGAAAAGAATTCTCATTGATTAAATGAGAACGTTAGAGCTCAGAGAATCCAAAATAATATCCAGTAAAGTCAGTGTTATGAAGACCCATCCTTTAGTATATGGATCACCTTTCTCAAATCCTTGGCTCTTATCTAAGTTCTTATCTCCAACGACCTCTGCTACTTTGTCGCTATTCAGGAGCAAAGTTGTATCCCCTCCTTGTGACCCGTGGACTGTAGCCCTCCGGGCCCCTCTGTCCATGGGGTTCTCCAGGCAAGAGTACTGGAGTGGCTTGCCATTCCTTTCTCCAGAGGAGCTTCCCAACCCAGCGACCGAACCCGGGTCTCCTGCATTGGCAGGCGGGTTCTTTACCACTGAGCCACCTAAGAAGCCCCTCTGCTATCTACTGTCTCATTAACCAGAACTTTCTAAAGGCAGTATTTCTGCATATCCATGGTGAGACGGTAATGAACCTTTGGGATGATGACTCAAGGCACTCCAAGATCTTACAGGGTCTTCTGAGACATCAGAAGTAGATTGACTTACGCACATGGTGGTGGATGTGCTGGGTGGACTCCGCCATATTCCAGTTATCTGCGAGTAAGAAATACTCATGGCTGCATGCATGGTCCACGAGACTCCCTCTTAACCAGACTTCGGAGACCAGGGATGCCCCCACAGGCTCACCTGTTTTGTGCCACAGAAACTCATGCAAACGGTTTTTCACAGAAAAGGAACAAAAGAGGAAGAAGTAGGAAAAAAAGCCAAAAGACTTGCTGTTTGGAGCACAAGCGAGAGATATTTGTAGACGGATATGTGAGGAATGACTTAAGGCTGGTGGGATTTCTTGATGTGGAAACTCTCTGAAAATAAGAGCATCAGACTTGAAATCTCAGGGTGGGATTCTAGCCTGGAGTCTGATATTGTTACGGGAAATGGCTGGTTTTTCTCCCTGGGTCCTGAATGATCAAATGGGATGAGGTGGGAACAGGCAGCCTAGCACCTGTACCATAAGCAGCAGAGCTGCCCCTGAAAACAGAAGAGGTGGCCTTCTTTCCAAAAACGATTCCTGGCTAAAAAGCCCAGGCCCCAGCTGGAGCAGCGGTTTCTGCTCTTTGCAGTGTCCTCCTCCTATACAAACTCTCTGGTCCCTCACATTTCCTCCGTGGGCCCTGTGATGTAGGAGAATTAGGTCCATCTCCAAAGATGCAGCAAAAAAAAAAAAAAGGTCAGAACATATGTAAGGCCGCGGCACATGTTACCCATCATAGGCAGCCAGGTATCCTCACCCCGCCCTAGATCTGGCTCCAACATGGGAGGGGCCGGGGCTGGGCTGGGGTCTCAGGTCCTCTCTGACTTGAGCCTCAACACTTGAGCCCTCTTTCTACACTTCATGTCATTCACCTACCTAACTAGCTGTCAGCCTGTCTGTCCAATGCTTGAACAAAGATGCTCTTAATGACCCATCAGATGAAGTGACACTTCCTTTCGAAAGTCCGAGGAGCACCTCCTTTGGTGCCTAAGTCTGCAGCCACTCAATGTCTGTGGACATTTCTATAGATGTTGGTAAGGCCACATGCGGCTTCCCTAGCAGCTCAGATGATAAAGAATCTGCCCGCAACACAGGAGACCCAGGTTCGATCCCTGGGTTGGGAAGATCCCCTGCAGGAGGGCATGGCAACCCACTCCGGTATTGTTGCCTGGTGAATTCCGTGGACAGAGGAGCCTGGTGGGTCCACAGGGTGGCAATGAGTTGGACGCAACGGAGCACAACTGAACTTTCACTTTCAAACAGTCACGAGGGCAGCCCAGGCTGGAGGGAAGGAGTGGCCGGCCGGGCGCAATCTCTGGGCAGACCCTCCAGGCCTGGTCCAGCTCTGCTGTGGCTCTCATGGCACCTGTCCAGCTCCCTCCTCTCTCCCTTCTCTGCTCCCTGAGCTGGGAGGTGGGCTTCAGTGCTGGCGTCCAGTCGATCCTCCCACCGGCCTCAGAAGCCCCCTCCACCTTCCACCGTTCAGTTACTTTTCTCTAAACTTGAACTTCTTGGAAGACAGACTTGTTGAAATTCAAATATTCTCCATCTCTGACTTTAATTTACAGGAACTGTCAACTCGGAGCAAGCTTAGGACATGCAGCTGTTGCATTTGGTTGGAAGCTCTCTGTGTGTGTGTGTGTGTGTGTGTGTGTGTGAGACAGAGAGAGTGTGTGTGTGTATGTGTGTTAATATCTATTTGCCGGGAGGCAAGAAAAAGCACTTAGCCAGGCGAGTGCTGTATTTCTCCAGAGGCAGGAAAAAAAAAAACCTTAACACATTAAAGCACACAGTTATGCTAAGAAAAAAAAATGACTGCAAAATTATATCTTGGGGGTTTCCATATTTATCCACCCCACCCCCCAGATGATGAGTCAAAACAAGATTTATTTGTGTAGTTTGTTCTAAACTTCCAGCACTTTGAGCTCAACTTGGAACATGGAGGGGGGGGGAATCAAGCTGCTATTTTTTGCCAAGTGCTATACATTGTCACCGGTGACAAAGATCACAGAGTGAGAGCCAGCCAGTCATCCAGGAAGGCAGCGGAGACCTGCAGAGCTGTTCCGCTTTGAGATGGAAGCTGGAAGGGCCGGAAAGAGATGAATGTCTGTTTCTTAGAAGCAGGTGTAACCGGGGCCGTGTGATGAGGGAGGAGCAGAGTGCAGGAGCAGACCTGAGATTCCAGCCCTGGCTCTGCCGCCTGACCAGCGGCAGATCCTCTGACAAGTCACTTCTCTCTGCATCTCAGGATTTCTCAGCTATAAGGCAAAGAACCTATGTGACATTAATCCCCATGGTTTTATTCCGGCTCAGATTCACTGGTCTTGCTGGCTCATGACTTGGTTCAGATGCTACTTTCCTGATGCACAGGCTTCACAGGACAGAGCTCTGGGGTTAACAGAAAGATCCAAACAAGAAGTTGGTATGCCAGGACTGCGGGCACTGGGGACCAGCAATCTGGATTCAGGGGAAGTACCACCCTATCCGGCTTGTATTGCTGTTTTCAGTCGCTCAGTCGTGTCTGACTCTTTGCAGCGCCAGGGACTGTAGCCTGCTAGGCTCCTCTGTCCATGGGATTCTCCAGGCAAGAACACTGGAGTGGGTTGCTATGCCCTCCTCTAGGGGATTTTCTCCACCCAGGAATAGAACCCACATCTGCATTGGCAGGCGGGTTCTTTACCACTGAGCCACCAGGGAAGCCCCATTGGGCTTGTTGTTTGGTCACTAAGTTGTGTCCGACTCTTTGTGACCCCGTGAACGGCAGCACACCAAGTTTCCCTGTTCTTCACGATCTCCCAGAGCTTGCTCAAACTCACATCCATTGAGCTGGTGATGCCATCCAACCATCTCATCCTCTGTCACCCCGTTTTCCTTCTGCCCTCAATCTTTCCCAGCATTGAGGTCTTTACAAATGAGTCAGTTCTTCGCATCAGGTGGCCAAAGTATTGGAGCTTCAGCTTCAGCATCCGTCCTTCCAGTCAATGTTCAGGGTTGATTAGGTTTGACTGGTGTGATCTCCTTACTCAAGAGTTTTCATCAAGCCTGAACCAAATCCTATTTTCTTGACCTGATTCAGGCCCAAGGTTTTCAGATGTCCAGGGTGCTTCACAGTCTAAAAAACAGGGCCCTTAGATCCCGTCCAGTTTCTCCTCTAGATTGGACTTGTTAAAGGAGTCCCATGCAGCAGAGATGAGGGTCAGATGGGTCGGGGACACTGAGGTGGCAGGAAGGTCTAACGGCTGTGATTTCCCATAGGTGCACAGGAAAGGTAAGACAGTAGAAGGATCCTTACAGAGTGTGTCTGGGTCCAGCTTTGGCCTCTTTTGCAGGAGGCCTGCAGGCCAGGTAAAGATGGAAGGGACCTGGGGGGTGGGCAGGACACCTCATAAAGCAGGGCAGAGGTCCTTCCTCTTCACCCAAGGCATTTAGTTCTGTCTGGGCTGGAAGGATCACCGGAGTCGTCTATATGATCCATCCTGTCCCCCCGCCCCACAGTCAAGGGCCAGCCCCAGTAGAAAGTGAGGGCCAGAGCATCCCATCCACTCCTTCACTGAGTGACTGGCTCACGTTGTAGAGCCAGGTGGTGGCTGAGCTGAGATGGTGACCAGGCCCTTTTCAGGGAACTCCACACCTCCCCAGCAGCTGTTCGCGCCCCAGAAGACCTCGTCCAGGAGCCAGGCTTTGCTGTGTACAATCTCAGCCCTTTCCTCTGGTACAGCTTTTAGGTTGAGGGGGGAAGGGGCGCTGGGAACAGCTGGCCACCATTCACTTAATAACAAGGCTTCTGAACCCAAGGCTGTTATTAAAGCTCCCGCCCCGCCCTGCCTCCTCCGGGCAGGGGTGCTGGCTGGCAGAGCGCCATGGAAATTGGAGGCGTGCCACCAGCGCCAAGTGCTGCTTCTGTTCAGTCCCTCTCCGATCCGAGTAGGTGTCAAGTTTTCATCCATCACCTGACGTCTCTGGTGGCTGGTTGCCAAGGCAGAACAACTTAGCTTTTCAAGAACCTTGAGATCAATTGCATTTACGATGCCACCGTTCCACGTCCTCAACACACCCCTGTCACCTGACACAGCCTCTGGCACCTGCCCATGGAATCCAGGGCCACCAAACCGGGTCCTCCAGTATGCCCGGGACATGCTGAGCACACGGGTCACGCCCCTCAAATTCTTGCTGAAGGAGCACAGACGTCTTTGAGAAGGATTTAGAATCTTGCTTCTCAAAGTGGGGTCCCTGGCCCAACAGCACTGGCTCTTTAGAAGCTGCTAGAAATGCAGAATCTGGGGCCCCAGCCCACACCTGCTGACCCAGGATCCGTATTTTAACCCTGTCTCCAGGAGACTATGCATATTAGATTGAGAAGCCACTGGTTTAGGCTGGAAACCATGGTGGCTGAGGATCAAAACCACCTGGGGAACCTTTGCTTTTGTTGTTGTTGTTCAGATTTCCAAGTTCTGGATTATTCTCTTTGGGAGAGAAGGCTCTGGTGTCTGTTTTGGTTGAAAGCTCCATAAGTAATCTTCACGTTCATTCAGGTTTGGAATCATCTTTTCAAGTTTACCTGTACCTTCTGCTCAAAGCTTAAAGCAGGAGAATGCAAACCACAAATTACACAGAGAAGCCCCGTCCACACATGGGTAATTCTGAGTTAGCCACAGATGGATCTGCCATCTCAGCTTTGCTTCCATGGGGGGCTCTGTTGGGGTGCATGCAGGTGATGCTATCCAGCCCTACCCCAGGCAGGAACAGGCTAATCACACAGTCCTCCACCCAGCTTTGTGTGGAATGATGGAACTCAGCCTTCAAGCTGAGACAATGCTGTCGTTCAGTCGCTAAGTCGTATCTGACTCTCTACAACCCCATGGACTGCAGCACGCCAGGCTCCTCTGTCCTTCACTATCTCCTGGGGTTCGCTCAGATTCATGTCCATTGAGTCGGTGATGCCATCTAACTGTCTCATCCCCTATGGCCTCCTTCTCCTTTTGTCGTCCATCTTTCCCAGCATCAGACCCTCTGGCATTTCTTTACCTTCAAATCCAATCTGATCTGCCACTTCCTGGCTAGACCCCAGGCTCTCTGCAAAACAGGGGCCTTAGAAATCCCAGGTCCTACTAACGCAGAGAGCACAATTCTGTAAATTTCTCTCCATCCATCCTTGCTAATCCCAGACTATCAGCTTTGCCTCTTCCCAGAACTAGTATACAGTCATCGCTCTGTATCTACAAGGTGCCAGCCCCTCTGAGGGTACCAAAACCCACGGATGCCCAAGTCCCTTACTCAACAAGGCATAGTACAGTCAGCCCCTGCTGGGAATCTGAAAGTTCCACACCCTCCAGTTTGGTGTGTGCAGAAACCCCACTGTGTGTTTATCAAAATTTTGATATGGGGTGCAATTAAACGTCTGTGGCTGGGGAAAGAACAGGTGACCTTGAAGAGGTCCTGACCTCAGTTGCTTCATTTGAGAACCAGATGGCTGTATTACATCTGTGGTTTTCAGAGGGAAACCCTCTTGCCCAACAAAATCATAGTCAAGACTCCAATGCACAAAACTGAAAGACGGGGAATTCCCTGGCAGTCCAGTGGTTCAGACTGAATTTCGAATGCAGGAGACACAGGTTCAACCCCTGTCCGGGGAACTAAGATCCCTCATGCGGTGTGGCATGGCCAAAAACTAAAATAGAAATAAATAAAGCAATCAAAAGAAAAAAATTTAACAATATAGAAGGTCTCTGAGGTGGGGGAAGGGGGTCCAGACATGTGACCATCACTGACCATCTCTGGCCATGGGAAAGGTCAGCCTGCTTCTGGGGCTCCAAGGAGGAAAGTTTGAAAACCACCAGTTAGGTAAGCCCTAAAGTCTCTCCTGGTGTTTTACCTCTGTGAGGAAGAAAAAATCTACTGGTGCCATCAAAAATCAGGTTGTAAAGCACAAAGTTTAAAAAGGATGCACTTCTGTATCACCCCACCATCTGCCTCTTCCATCAGCTCTGTGTAGGGCCACTTGCTACATTTCAAAACATACATTTTCTTTATCGTGTTTTAGATGCAATCATTTTGAAAAATAATTTGTATCAGGCAAACTTCTGAGAAACCCCGGAATCTCGGTTCCATCCCCGTTCCTCATTTTCCTTGGTGACACCAAGGCTGCGGAGGAACAGGAGAGAAAGCAGTGGCCCATCCAAGTCCAAACTCCAAGAGGAACAGATTTTGGGTTCCAGGCAGTATGGGTCTCAGGGCTGAGACGAAACGAAATGAACAACCCCAGTATCCTGCCTGCACGGAGACACAGCATCCACACTTGCATCCAACATCTGCTGAGCACAGAGGAGCCTCCGACAAGCCCTGGTCACAAAGGTAAAGACGTGTGGAGGGTGGCAGGGGTTGGGGCTGGCAGCTCCTTCCTGGACAGCAGGGGACAGCCTGATGAGCAGGTTAGGAGCTGAGCAAGGCCTGTGGGCTTGAAGAGAGGGTTGAGCACGAGCTCCGCGAAGAGAGGCAAACTGGCCCTTTTATCCGCTCCTGGAGTCCCCAGGCCCCAGCTAGTGCCTGTTAGAGTGCAGAACAAATAGACAGGCATGGGTCCTGCTGGTGAGAGGGCTGGGACCTATCTGTCTGTGTGTGAAAGGACTGGGGCGGGCAGGGCCGTAAAAGAGAATAAGTGGCTCGGCACAGGCCCTTGGCCTTGGGACGTCTCATTCAGGTGGTGGAGGAAAGCTCGAGGTGGTCGGGAGTACAGAGGGCCCACAGAGCAGCCTGTTGCAAGGACAACGCGGGAAAGCAGAGTCTTAGACAGAATCCAGAATTCAAAGAGGAGCCCCATCTCTCGAGGGCCCGGCCCCGGGGTGTCTTTGGGGACAGCCTGGGACCCTCCCATTGCAGATCAGCCTCCCTTTGTGTGAAGGGCTGTGATGAGACCCCCAAACACTGAGCAGACCCGACCCCTGCTGGAGCTGGGAAAACGCAGGCGGTGGGAAGAGGCCCTGGTGACTCTATGTAAACATTCTGGAAAACCGTGCACCCTCGACACTTGGCACTCCCTCCCCAACTCCTAATCCCACTTTTCACAGTCTCAGGGACACCATTATTGGCTTCATCTATATTTTTCCTGGGTTCTTCTCCCACACACCCCCTCCCCACGAAGGCAGAGTCTGATCACACCTCTCGGGTTCACCTATGGGTCCCCAGTAACCAGCCTGTTGCTGGGCACTTGGGTGGACAGACGCATGGACGCCTGAATCGGTTTGTTCCGGGAGAAGGTGGGGTCTGAGTCAAGTGTCCGGAGAGGACCCAGGAGGAGGGCCCTCCCGGCAGGCCAGCAGCTCACCTCCACGCTGCTCAGCCACTGCCGCACGTCCAGGAAGGACTGTCTGGCCGTGAGGTCGTACATGACCACGATGCCGTCGGCCTTTCGGAAGAACTGCTGGGTGATGCAGCGATACCTGCGCAAAGCTCCGGGTCAGGTGTGCCGCCTCCTCGGCCGCCAGAGCCCGCCCCCGCAGGGAGAGGGCAGGCGGGGTTACCCCGGGGGCCGGGGGGGGGGGGGGGGTTGCTCCTCACCTCTCCTGCCCCGCCGTGTCCCACAGCTGCACAGCCACCCGCGAGCCGTCCACACACACCGTCTTCACGCGGTAATCGATGCCTGTGGGTGGAGCCGAGCATCACGCCCAATCCGGAAGCCACGCCCCCACCCGGCAGCCCCAGGGACGGTCCTCCCCTCGGCAGCTCCTGACCGGTGATGTGGGCGTGGACAGAGCCCTGGACGCCGAGCCCGGGGACCTGGGCTCTGGTCCTGTCTCAGCCACTGACCAGCTGCGGGACCTCGATCCAACCACTGAACCTCTCTGAACCGCAGGCCCCTCACTGCAGTGTCCCTCTTTAGGGATCAGATGAGCTCACATATGGAAAAGCAATCTACTAAGGTGAAAAATTATCCTTCATGAATTGATTTCCTCATGGGCAAGATGAGGAGACAGAAAGACTGTCCTCAGATTCCTCCCTCCCCCCTCCCCTCCTCCTTTCCTTCTTTCCCCCTGCAATCCTTTTCAAAATGTCTATAATAAAATTCAGATATCCCTGGGGGGAATGGATCACATGTTCAGACTACCATAGGTGATGCAAAGATAGGTGAATGGGGGGAAGTAGGAAGAGGGGAGGGCTTGGCAGTGGGTGGGGCAGAGAGAATTAGAGGGGCTGGGGAGGGAATCAGAGGCAACATTTCCCTCTAGAGTTGGGTCCAGAGTTCCTAATCCCAGCCACCAGTGAAAGTGTTAGTCATTCAGTTGTGTCTGACTCTTTGCGACCCCATGGACTATAGCCCGCCAGGCTCCTCTGCCTGGGATTCTCCAGGCAAAAATACTGGAGTGAATTGCCATTCCCTTCTCCAGGGGATCTTCCTGATCCAAGAATCAAACCCGGCTCCTCTGCACTAAGAATCTTCAAATTCTTAACCATTTAAGCCACCAGCAAAGTTCCAATCCCAGCCATCAAGCCCCTTCCAATTATCCCTCTGAGGCTGTGACCACCCCCTACCCCTGGAGTCAGGGACCCCAGAGAGAGGCCACAGGGCAGGGAGACACACCATGTGCCCCACAGCAGACCTCAGACTGAGGACCTAAATGTGGTTCTTTGATAACTAACATTCCTCCATCCCACATCCTGTAAGGACGTTCACAGATGTTCAACCAGGTTTAAAACACTTTTCCCTCTTAAGTCATCAGATCTTGAAACCAGTGAGAAACCCCCTCCACCTTCAAAAAGGCCCAGCTTCTGGGGTCCTTACTCTGGAGGGGCCAGGGAGGAACAGTAGCAGCCGCTGGCCAGAGAGACAGACAGGTGGACAGGCAGATAAGAGGCAGTCGACAGAAAAAGGCATTCCCGCCACAGGCATTCACGCCCAGGCAAAGGGGCGTGAGGGGATTGCAGGGCAGGAGAGATGGGAGGGTCGTTAGATCCTAGAATGTCAGCAGGACCGCAGACACCCTGGGTTCCCAGAAGAAGGTCAGAGGGAGGGTGCCCACATCTGGGTGAGGAACAGAGCGATGGGTCCCAAAGGTAGAAGGCTTGGCATTCCCAGTTCCCACATGACATCCTTCCCTCCTCACAGAGCTCCCCTGTGACATCCACATGAGGGTTGCTATCTGCACACACACACACACCCATACACGCACGTGCACACATCTCCACCCCCTCCCCACCATGGAAGGCTGAAGAAGCAGGAGACCCTCTTTGCCCAAGCTGGTCAGCAGCCTCACTAAGTTGCAAACCCAGTTCTGAGGCTCGTTCCTCTCTTCACAGCAGCACCCTAGGCACGGGGCACAGAGCAGCTTCATTTCACCCAGAGAGTCCAGGGCTCAGCGCTCCCATCAGAACAGGTGGGAACCAGACCCAAGGGTATCTCCTTGGCTCAAGCGCATGGGCTTCCCCTATGGGTGCTCTGGGAGACAGAGTAGCTGCCTGCCATCTGATAACAGCTCAGGAGAAAACCAACCACAGCCGATACCTCCGTGGCCTGGTCTGAAGCCCCGGAGGACCCAAGGATGAGCCCTGTGTTTGGTGGAAAGGAGGGCCGGCTGGGTCCCTTGACCTCACTGATGACTGCTCTGCGGGAGGCGGGGAGCTTGTCTTGCAGGGAGCACAGTGGACCAGGAGCTTGGTGAGTTCCTGCTGGCCCACAGGGTACCGCTCCCTGCAGCCTCAGACCCACAGGCTGGGAAACAGACAAACAAGCCGGACAGGAGCGTGGGGCTGGGAGGACACGGGGTGTCAGAGTCCAGGAGAAAGGGCCTCGCAGCGGGACATGCGGCCAGAGGAATTTCTGAGACCCCTGCACCGCTTCCAACGCTCCGGGAGCCCAGACCCTGTGTTCCTGCCTCCAAGCAGCCGTGTGACCTTGAGGACTTGACTTCACCCCATTTGGGGGACCTTGCTTTCCCATCTGTAAACTGAGGTGTGATGGGGTGTGGGGAAAGTTGGGCGTCCATGACCTTTACATCCTGCTGCAGCGTTCGGTGAACACTCACAGTGACCTCCAGATTGCAACTTAAGTGGTTCCTGAATGAGGACTGGACCCCAGGGCCCCTCTCGGGGACTGGGTGTGTGGTGGGCTGTGCGGGTCAGAGCTGGGTGGTGGGCCCCAGGAAGGGCGGCCTTCACCTTTCTAAGCAGTCAGTCCGAGCACATGGGCTTGGGAGTGGGGAGAGCAGTGATGTCATGGATGTGAGCTCCCAGAATTTCTCTGTGCAGACGAGGAGATGGATGGATCCTGACTGGTACCCAGGAGAGGCCAGAGGGCATCCTGCCAGGAAAGCTTTCAGAAGGAACACCTTGGGGCATGGCCCGTGGTTTAAAGCAGGAGCCTGTGAACCAAGGTGGGGCCTCAGGGAGAGTCCTGGACTCAGAGTCCTGGGTTCAGAGCCTTTGCCTCCAACAGCCTCTCTTCTCCTCAACAACACAAGCTCCAGAATTCTACAGGAAGCATCATTTGACATTTCCAGGCCACTCACAGGACCCACGCACCTGCTTTTGAAGGGACATATGGTGGGGGAGGCCGGGCACCCCAAGACACACTGCTGCATTGGGGAACCCAGATCCTGCATAAGCCAACAGACAAGGACAAGTCATGTGCTCACGAGGGGCTGGGCGATCAGGAAGTCTCTTTGGGGAAGGAGGAGGGCTTGCAAGCACTGCCATGTCCCTGTAGGTCTGTGCTGAGGGTCCAGGGCTGCTGTGCCTATGGGACTCAGCCTCCTGGAGCCCTCGGAGGCCAGGACTCAGTGCCTTGCCTGTATCTTTAAAGGGAGCATCTTCCAGGCAGCTGGTGTGACATTGGCTCCCTGACGCATGTGCCAGGGACGCGGATTCCAGCTGATGCTCTGGGCTCCCCTTGCGCAGTGAGAGGAAGGGTGTTCTAGATTTAGAAACTATGATATTTTTCCCCATCGTAAATTGTCGGTGTTTCCGTAATTGGCCTCCTGGGAAGTGCAAATTAGTCTGATATTCTCTTTTCCAGAGTTCTCCATCTCAGAGACACAGGTTGGAGGAGTGAGCAGATCCTGATTCTCTGATTTTTCCAACAGGAGAGGCAACATGTGCATGGCGTGGGGGCTGCCCTGGGGGATGAAGCATCTCCCCCCTGCTCCCACAGGCTGCTGCCCGAGGTGTGACCTCGGGGGTAGTTCTGCGGTCACCCCACAGGACGCTCCAGGGAGGGCCAGTCCAGCTCCATAGAGGTCGCTTCCAGGGTCACCACACTTGGCACACTGGGTCACTGAACCATCTGTCTCCAGTCACACGCTGCAGGGTCTTCTGGGTGTCCTCCTGTCAGAGTCCCGATTCTTCCCCTTGGGAGGCTCCGAGTCTCCATGTGGAACAGGGCAGAAGTGGGGCAAGAGGGGCCCCCAGATTTGGAATCTGAAAAGGCTCAGCCATAAGAACGGGGTGCCTGCAGCCTACAGGAGAGACCCATCCATAGGAGGAAAATTGGAAAGAAGGGCCCATTTAGGTTATCCTAGAGGAGATCTTGGAGTCTCCCAAAGCAGTTCTCTGGGGCAGGAAAGTTTATCTCCGAGGGCCAGCTTGTAAGACCAAGGGGTCTTATAAGGGGGTCAAGGGTGGTCTGGACAGAGTACTGGGCTTGGAAGCAATCTTGGGTGGCTTCGTTCAAATCTCTCATTTTTTTTCAGGTGAGGAAAACTGCAGCACAAACAAGAAATACCTCTGGAGTCACATGGCTGGCCAGTGGCAGAGCTGGGGTAAAGGTCCAGGATTTTCGATGTCCCCCTGGACCTCAGCAGACTGCCCTGCCTATGCCAACACAACTCCGTGTTGTTAGGGAGACAGTGGGCTGGAACAGTAAGGGTGCATGGGATGGGGGGGGGCCAATGTGAGCACCAACCAGCTGATGAGAATGAGGACCAGCCTCTGGACCCCTCTGGGCCTGCCTCAGAGTCCTGGTCCATGCATTGGGCTGAAAGCAGTGCTTGCCTTTCAGGTTTGTTGGGAAGACAGATGGAAACGATAACTATTAGGTGGGGATGCAAATTGATGCAGCCACTGTGGAGAACAGTATGGAAGGGCCTCAAAAAGCTAAAATAGAACTATCATATGATCTGGCAATCTCACTCCTGGGCATAAACCCTCAGAAAACCATAATGCAAAAAGGCACATGTATCCCAATGTTCATCACAGCACTATCTACAATAGCCAGGACATGGAAGCAACCTAGATGTCCACCGACAGATGAATGGATAAAGAATATTCCCCACCATAAAAAGGAATGAAATTGGGTCATTTGTAGATATGTGGATGGATCTGGAGTCGGTCACACAGAGTGAAGTAAGTCAGAAAGAGAAAAACAAATATCATATATTAATACATATATATGGAATCTAGAAAACAGGTACTGATGAACCTATTTTGGGGGCAGGAATAGAGAGGCATAAATAGAGAACAGACGGGTGGGCACAGAAAGGGAAGGGGAGGGTGGGACAAGCTGGGAGAGCAGCCTTGACGTACAGACACGACCATGCGTAAAACAGACAGCTAGAGGGAAGCTGCTATATAACACAGAGAGCTCAGCCTGGTGCTCCGTGATGACCTAGAGGTGGGATGGCGGGGGTGGAGGGAGGCTCAAGAGGAAGGGCTGTGTGTTCACATGCAGCTGATTCACTTTGTCGTGCAGCAGAAACTAATACAACGTTGTTCTTGCATGGAAAATTCCACGGACGAAGAAGCCTGTTGGGCTACAGTCCATGGGGTCACAGAGTCACACACGACTGATCAACTAACATTTTTCACTTCACATTCTTATCAGCAAGGTTAAGTGGCATATAGAAGACACTCCATGGATTCATTTATTTTTTTGCTTGAGTGACTGAATTTGGGAGAAGCTAAAAGGTTGATAATGCCCTTGGGTTCTACCACATATCTCAAGGCAAGGAGCAACTCTGGGAGAAGGGGCCGAGGCCTCTACCTAAATACAGATTTGCGCTCAGTCACTCAGTTGTGTCTGACTCATTGCAACCCCGTGGACTGTAGCCTGACAGGCTCCTCTGTCCATGGGAATTCCCAGGCAAGAATACTGGAGTAGGTTGCCATTTCTGATTCCAAAGGGTCTTCCTGACCCAGAGATGGAACCCATGCATCTCCTGCATTGGCAGGTGGATTGTCTACCATGGAGCCACCCGGGAAGCCCACCTAAACACAGAACCACCCAGATAGCGACGGGAGCAGACAAAGACCTGGTCAGCTAGTAGCTGAGCTTAAAGAGCATCCAAATGGACTCCAGCTGTTACCAGCAGGCCTGGGATGCAGGACGGGGACAGCTGACGGGTAAAAGAAGCCACCAGAACACTGTCCTGTGCCCTGCCCATCCACACAAGTGCATGCACACACACACACACACACACACACACACAGAAAGTGGGGAAGGCATGATTCAAGAGAGTCGGGCTCAGAAAGGGGACAAAGGGCCAGCAGTCCATCTTTGCTAAGTTCAGGTCCCCTTCAGGCCAGATGTAGGAAGCATTTGTGGTTGCATCCTCATGGAGCACTGGGCAGACATGGTCCTCACCTACCAGCCCAGCCCAGCCCATGGCCCTTCCCACAGGGCTCCAAGTCCCTACCTGGGCCCCCTTCTCACAGCCACCCCTTCCCAGAGGTGGGCTAGGGTCCAGCCTCGGGCAGAAAACTCACCCACAGTGGCTGCCGAGCCTGGGGAGAACCTGCCATCGCAGAAGCGGCCCAAGAAGGATGTCTTCCCCACGGAGGAGTTGCCCACGAACACGATCTTGAAGAGCCGGTCTGGGGTGGACAGGGAGCCTTCCTTCTGCGGAAGGCAGACAGTTGGGTCAACCACTGGACAGTCACCAGTCCCCGCACCTGCCACCCCCACCCCTCACTGTCCATATGGTGTCCAGGGAGAGACCAGCAACCAGCAAGGAAGGCTGCTCCAGCTCCGGCCTCGGACGCAAGAAGCTTCAGGTTCAGGGCACCGGGGCTCCTTCCAGCATCAGATGTGGGAAGAGAGACATGCATTCCAGCACCACTGATGCCCGTATGCTGGGCCGCAGACCCTGTGCTGGGCTGGGTTTGTGGTGGAGGGAAGGAGGCCGTGTGTACAAAGTCACAGCATGATGTTCCAAGTGTCCAGGGAGCACGGTCAGGGGGTCAAGGGTCTCGGGGTGCAGGGGGCTTTGGGCTGGGCTTTAAGGAGGAGGTGGAGATTTTCTGTGGGGAGTGATTAGGAAGGACAAGGTGGGGTGTTGGCAGGGAGATAGAGAGATAGAAAAAGAAGGCTTATCTATATCTCGGGGGCTGAATCATCCCAGGCTGGGGTCGGGCCTCTTATTTCAGCCCCATCACTGGAAGCTTACACCGGATGGAGGATGAGCCTGCCTTCTTGCACGCTGCCCTGCCATCCCATCTCACCAAGTTCATCTAGGGGCCCTGTCTGCCCTCGAAATAAAAGAAGAAAAAAGAAACCCACACTAATTAAAAAAAAAAAAGCTTTAAAAATTAAAAGTGATAAATACTAATTTTAAAAATTAGGAAACCTAGTAGAGAGGAAAATAATTATTCATCATTTATCCCACCACCCTGAAATGGCCACTGTTTCTATTTTGATGCATTTGTTTCAGGGTTTTTTTCTATATAGATGAAGCAATAGGTGATTTTTGAGAGCGATTTGAGATATTATATGTAATTTACTTAATTATACATAAATTTAAATTTATATGTAATTTTCTATTTTTAATATACTATTAAATTATGAATAGTGCTCTGAATCACTAATGTTTTTTGAAAGTGTGATTTTTAAAAATTATTTAAAATTAATTAACTTTTGGCTGAGCTGGGTCTTCATTGCTGTGAGGGCTTTTCTCTAGTTGCGGCAAGCGGGGGTTACTCTGTACTTGTGTTGCATGGGCTCCTCACTGCCGTGGCTTCTCTTGATGCAGAGCACGGGCTCTAGGGCGCACAGGCTTGGTGATGGCAGCGCATGGCTTCAGCAGTTACAGCTGCCGGGCTCTCGAGCACAGGCTTGGTAGTTACGGCCCATGGGCTTAGTTGTCCCACAGCATTTGGAATCTCTCTGGACCAGGGATCAAACCTGTGTTTCCTTCCTCACTGAGCCACCAGGGAAGTTCTGGAAGTGTGATTTTTAACAGTGCTATAACATTCTGTTAAGTTAATATAGTTTAATTTATGGCCAACAAAGGTCTGTCTAGTCGAAGCTATGGTTTTTCCAGTAGTCATGTATGGATGCAAGAGTTGGACTATAAATAAAGCTGAGCGCTGAAGAATTGATGCTTTTGAACTGTGTTGCGGGAGAAGACTCTTGAGAGTCCCTTGGACTGCAAGGAGATCCAACCAGTCCATCGTAAAGAGATCAGTCCTGGGTGTTCTTTGGAAGGACTCATTTGAAAAGACCCTGATGCTGGGAAAGATTGAAGGCAGGAGGAGAAAGGGACAACAGAGGATGAGATGGTTGGATGGCATCACCGACTCAATGGATATGAGTTTGAATAAACTCCAGGAGCTGGCGATGGACAGGGAGACCTGTCATGCTGCAGTCCATGGGGTCAAAAAGTGTTGGACACAACTGAGTGACTGAACCAACTGAACTGAACTGAATTTATGGCCTTATTGTTTTTTTTCAATTGTGGCAAGACAATCTCCATCAGTAGTATGGCAAATCCTGAAATGCCAGGCTATGGGGAGAACTTTCCAGAACACGGTCACGCTGCCCCTTCTCTGCCCAGTAAGGGGAGGAACCTGGGGCTGGCCAGGACGTTACTCTGGGATGCTCCAGCCAGTAGGAAATGGACTTGCTCCAGGACATGGGGGATGGTGCGGGAAGCCGGGCGAGGACCATTGTGGGTCCTTTCCCCCAAGGGTCATGAAGTCCAGAGAGCCACACAATCGTTCAAACCCTGCTCTTAGGCCCTGCCCAGCGCTGCTGGTCGAGTGAGCAGGCTCTTTAGAATCCATTTAGAAGTGGATCTGGGGGAATTAGCTCCTCTCATGGACAAATACTGTAATGGAGCTGCAGCCAGTATTAGCAGTTGCAGAGAAAAGCCATTTACAGCCTTTTGGGGAGAAATCAATTCCATGCCATACTTAGCAGGAAATTCAAGGTCAATTATAGGAATTTAAACTCATCTTTTAAAAAAGAGAAAAGAAACCCATGCTCAGAAACACCATCCCGGCCCCATGTTCTTTATTCCTACACAAGCACCGCCCTCTACCAGCCTGGTGTCTCCATGTGTAATTTGTTTGAGACTAAAGCTCAGTGCAGCCATAGGTGTGTTCCAGGCCCAGGATGATGAGGAACATGAGACCCAGGCTGGAAGGAGATGGTCCAGGCCACGGAGGTGGGGGCTGACCTTGCTCTGCACTCTCCCCAGCCCCGCCCCCACCCTAGCAGAGCACTTATTTTGCAGACAGGATACCACCAACGTTGTGTCCTTGACTAGATGGACCTTTGTTGACAAAGTAATGTCTCTGCTTTTTAATATGCTATCTAGGTTGGTCATAACTTTCCTTCCAAGGAGTAAGTGTCTTTTAATTTCATGGCTGCAATCACCATCTGCAGTGATTTTGGAGCCCCCAAAAATAAAGTCTGACACTGTTTCCCCATCTATTTCCCATGAGGTGATGGGACCAGATGCCATGATCTTATTTTTCTGAATGTTGAGCTTTAAGTCAACTTTTTCACTCTGCTCTTTCACTTTCATCAAGAGGCTTTTTAGTTCCTCTTCACTTTCTGCCATAAGGGTGGTGTCATCTGCATATCTGAGGTTATTGATATTTTCTTCCAGCAATCTTGATTCCAGCTTGTGCTTCTTACAGCCCAGTGTTTCTCATGATGTACTCTGCATACAAGTTAAATAAGCAAGGTAACAATATACAGCCTTGAGGTACTCCTTTTCCTATTTGGAACTAGTCTGTTGTTCCATGTCTAGTTCTAACTCTTGCTTCCTGACCTGCATACAGGTTTCTCAAGAGGCAGGTCAGGTGGTCTGGTATTCTCATCTCTTTCAGAATTTTCCACAGTTTATTGTGATCCACACACTCAAAGGCTTTGGCATAGTCAATAAAGCAGAAATAGATGTTTTTCTGGAACTGTCTTGCTTTTTCAATGAGCCAGTGGATGTTGGCAATGTGATCTCTGGTTCTTCTGCCTTTTCTAAATCCAGCTTGAATATCTGGAAGTTCACGGTTCACATATTGCTGAAGCCTGGCTTGGAGAATTTTGAGCATTACTTTACCAGTGTGTGAGATGAGTGCAATTGTGTGGTAGTTTGAGAATTCTTTGGGATTGCCTTTCTTAGGGACTGGAATGAAAACTGACCTTTTCCAGTCCTGTGGCCACTGCTGAGTTTTCCAAATTTGCTGGCATATTGAATGCAGCACTTTCACAGCATCATCTTTTAGGATTTGAAAGAGTTCAACTGGAATTCCATCACCTCCACTAGCTTTGTTCATAGTGATGCTTTCTAAGGCCCACCTGACTTCACATTCCAGGATGTCTGGCTCTAGATGAGTGATCAACCATTGTGATTACCTGGGTCATGAAGATCTTTTTTGTACAGTTCTTCTGTGTATTCTTGCCACCTCTTCTTAATATCTTCTGCTTCTGTTAGGTCCATAGCATTTCTGTCCTTTATCAAGCCCATCTTTGCATGAAATGTTCCCTTGGTATCTCTAATTTTCTTGAAGAGATCTCTAGTCTTTCCCATTCTGTTGTTTTCTTCTATTTCTTTGCCCTGATCACTGAGGAAGGCTTTCTTATCTTTCCTTGCTATTCTTTGGAACTCTGCATTCAAATGGGAACATCTTTCCTTTTCTCCTTTGCTTTTCACTTCTCTTCTTTTCACAGCTATTTGTAAGGCCTCCTCAGACAGCCATTTTGCTTTTTTGCATTTCTTTTCCATGGGGATGGTACAACGCCATGAACCTCCATCCTTGGTTCATCAGGCACTCTGTCTATCAGATCTAGTCTCTTAAATCTATTTCTCACTTCCACTGTATAATCATAAGGGATTTGATTTAGGTCATACCTGAATGGTCTATTGGTTTTCCCTACTTTCTTCAATTTAAGTCTGAATTTTGCAATAAGGAGTTCATGATCTGAGCCACAGTCAGATCCTGGTGACTGTATAGAGCTTCTCCATCTTTGGCTGCAAAGAATATAATCAATCCGATTTTGGTGTTGACCATCTGGTGATGTCCATGTGTAAAGTCTTCTCTTATGTTGTTGGAAGAGGGTGTTTGCTATGACCAGTGCGTTCTCTTGGCAAAATGCTATTAGCCTTTGCCCTGCTTCATTCCGTACTCCAAGGCCAAATTTGCCTGTTACTTCAGGTGTTTCTTGACTTCCTACTTTTGCAGTCCAGTCCCCTATAATGAAAAGGACATCTTTTTTGGGTCTCAGCTGCCACGCAGAAACATGGCCGAGAGGAGCTACCCGTCGCCCAAGGTCAGGGGCGGCGACCGAGAGCACCAGGCTGCAACGGTGCAGGAGCGGCCGAGAGGAGCTACCCTGCGTCCAAGGTCAGGAGCGGCAGCTGCGCAGGCGCAGGAGGGCCTAGAGGAGCTACTCCACATTCAAGCTCAGGAGGGCGGCCGTGAGAAGATACCCCTCCTCCAAGGTAAGCAGCAGCGGCTGCGCTTTGCTGGAGCAGCCGTGAAGAGATACCCTACGTCCAAGGTAAGAGAAACCCAAGTAAGACGGTAGGTGTTGCGAGGGAGCATCTGAGGGCAGACGCACTGAAACCATAATCACAGAAAACTAGCCAATCTGATCACAGGACCACAGCCTTGTCTAACTCAATGAAACTAAGCCATGCCGTGTGGGGAAACCGAAGACGGACGGGTCATGGTGGAGAGGTCTGACAGAATGTGGTCCACTGGAGAAGGGAATGGCAAACCACTTCAGTAGTCTTGCCTTGAGAACCCCATGAACAGTATGAGAAGGCAAAATGATAGGATACTGAAAGAGGAACTCCCCAGGTAGGTAGGTGCCCTATATGCTACTGGAGATCAGTGGAGAAATAACTCCAGAAAGAATGGAGGGATGGAGCCAAAGCAAAAACAATACCCAGTTGTGGATGTGACTGGTGATAGAAGCAAGGTCCGATGCTGTAAAGAGCAATATTGCATAGGAACCTGGAATGTTAGGTCCATGAATCAAGGCAAATTGGAAGTGGTCAAACAGGAGATGGCAAGAGTGAATGTCGACATTCTAGGAATCAGCAAACTAAGATGGACTGGAATGGGTGAATTTAACTCAGATGACCATTATATCTACTACTGTGGGCAGGAATCCCTTAGAAGAAATGGAGTAGCCATCATGGTCAACAAAAGAGTCCAAAATGAAGTACTTGGATGCAATCTCAAAAATGACAGAATGATCTCTGTTCGTTTCCAAGGCAAACCATTCAATATCACGGTAACTGCACTATAACATTCTATTAAATGACTATAGTCTAATTTGTGTCCCTAGTGTTGTTTTTTTCCCATTGTTTGCTCTTATACACTTATATTCTTCAGTGAAATTTCTGCCTGACTTTAATTATTTCCTTAGGAATGGTTGCTAGAGGTAGAAATGCTGGTTACAGAGGTGGCCATTAAAAGTTATTGATTCCTATTCTGAAACTACTTTCCAGAAAGCTGGTTCCAACCGAGGGCTCAGCAGCCTTGGAGGCGACCCTCTGCTGAGGCTGCTGTGAGACTTCTAGCATATATACTTCCTCTTGACAGCAGCTTCTGCCGCAGCTAAAGGGAAGCGCGTGTGTGCAGCCCGCGGGCTGGAGGTGGTGGCGGGGAAGGCAGGGTGGCGGGTGAGGGGCTGGGCTCCCGTCACTGCAGCGGGGGGGGGGTGGGGTGGGGTGAGGCCTCGTGCTCTCTGCTCTACTTCCCCACACTCCCCAGGGAGCATCAGGTCTCTGATGCCCCTCACCGGACAACTTCGAGGATCAAAGGCCACCGCAGACAGGATGCTTCATCTCTTCCTTCACCCTGTCTCCTGCAGACCTCATAACACTTCTTCCACCACCATCATGGGGTATTTAAAGCTCCATTTTGTGCCCACTGCCAGCCAGTGTGGCCTGTGCACTTTGGGGGATGTGGAAGGGCGTGCCCGGGGGAGGGCTCTACCCACCAATCTCTCCGGGTCCCATGGCCCAGGGCCCTTTACAAGCAGGGGTTTGTAGGCATGAGTGTTAATCCAGGCCCAAGAATGATAACCGAGGCCAAGAAGTCCCCGTGCAGGGCCGGGAGAGGGCTGGTTGGCACACAGGCCAACGCACCACTGGACCACTCAGCTATGAAGGCTGCCACGAGGCACGTGAGCTGTTCTAGAGGGTTCATTGGTTGGTGCAGGGCTGAGGAGCTAATCCCATGGCTCACAAACAGGGTGAGGAGTTTCATCAGTGATCCAGAGGAGGACGATCTGTGTGCCTCCTTCTCCCGAGAACTCAGCAGGGAGAGCTGGTAGGGGCACGGCAGCGGGAGAGGGGTAGTGGAGGGTCACACTTGCGGGAGGAGCAGGAGGTGAGCTGAGAGGAGAGGGGTGGGGCGCAGACCTCCCCAGCAGGGATGCGCCTGCAGGGAGCGGTCGCAGAATGGACCAGAAGAGGGACCATGTTTAAAGTACATGCTATGTGATGTTCAAGGCCCAGCAGAGGGTCCATCTTACTCCATGAAAGCTTTTAAATCTGAATCAGAAAAGAGTGCATAGGGTAGGGAGTAGGGCCAGCAACAGAAGTTATTGGAAGCGCATCCCCAGGCCCCCAAGTCTTCGTCATGACTCTCATGATGGAGGGGGAGGGTGGTACCCAATGGACACAAACTCAGCGTGTGGTCAGGCTTGCTGCGTCTGACCCCTGAGCTGCCCTGGGCTCACGATCGAGGGACAAGGCACAGGGTGACCTACAAGCCAGCGTGGGGACACCCGTACCTCAGACAGGGCTTCTTTTCCCACAGGCTGCCCTCGGGGAGACGTGGGCATGAGTCCCAGAGGTCGGGCAGGTCCACTTTGTCCATCCAACCCCTGGCCGGAGGCCTCCTCCTCTTCTGAGCATTTGCTCAGCGGCTGCTGAAAGCCGCCCCCCAGCAGCTGGGGCAGGGGGTCCTCTTCGATGGAGATGATCCTGCGGAGCCGCCGGGTGAGCGGTCCTCCGGGCCCCGGCTCCTCTTCTGTAATGGGGCACCCACTCAGGCCCAGGGAGCTTCTCCGCCTTTGGATGCCAAACACATCCTCCTCCTCCTCGGACTGGCTGTTTGGTGGGGGGACAAAGAGTGGGGACAATATCGTAACGTGTATCTGAGTGGAGGCAGGGGGCTGCCCGACGGCTTCTGTGATAGTTGAGGAAGCACACGCTTTGGGGGCAGAGAGGAGCTAGGAACAGGAAAAGCTGATTCCGCATGCTTTAGCTCTTTCACCGAATGTCTTTACAATGAAGGTGAAGATGATGATGAAGGTGAAGATGGTGAAGGGGAAGGCAGTGAAGGTGATGAAGGTGATGACAAAAGCAAAGAAGAGGATGAAGGTGACGGTGGCTCCAGGTTTTAAGCCAGTGACACGGTCCCTGCTCTCAAGAAGCACTTGGCTCAGGAGTCTACAGCCATCCTGACATACTCACTACACTGGTCCAGGCTGTGGGAGGCGCCGCGAAGGAGAAGGAAAGCTGTGAAGAAAGGAGTGTAACAGACGTGCAAACAAAGCCTCCTGGGTCAACAGCGGGCGGCCTTCGCCCAGGTCGGACACCAGCCCTTCCCAGCCGCGCGTCCCCAAGTCAGACGCCAACCCTCCAGGCCGGTTTCCCTGCCCGGCTGCCCGGCCCACCTCCCTGATAAGCTGGGGCACAAACCAGGCCCGTTAGGGACGCAGCCCTCAGGGAGGCAGGCGAGGGGGTCGCTGCTCTGGGGAGGGGGCCCCAGCACGGCAGGCATCCACCGGCTCGGGGCTGGCGAGGAAGCCAGGCAGGGCCCTCCACCCGCTTCTTCTCCCTTTCTCCGGAGAGTCAGGAGTGAGCGGCCTCGGACGGTCTGAGCAGCCAGAAGCAGGAGAAGCAGGAGGTGGAGGATCCGGGCGCTGGACGTGGGGTCAGTGCGCGGGCTGTGTCCTCGAGGCTTGAGAGCAAAGGCCCCTCGGGGCTCTCCCCCCCTCACGCCACTGCGAACAAGTCAGAGGGCGGTTGTATGGGAAGGGACTTGAGTCCAAAATCGAAACACACACACGAGGATTAGAAGAGAAAATGGAGTAGAAAGCGGCAGTGAGGCGACAGGGCGGAAGGACACAGAATATGCTGAATGGAGAAGCCCCTTCGCTTTGCTCCCCGGCTTCTAGCATTTCTGGCTCCTAAGGACCGACAGCAGAAAGAAAATGAAAAAAAAAAAAGTGTATCACTGTTCGGAAGTTATGGACGATTCTGAAAGAGAAATGAGGATACAGCACTTACTCACAAAATGCTGACTTAGTTTCGTCCCCTGATGTAAAATAAAAGATTTGCGGGAATTCAAGAACGCTTAGATTTACTGATAAAATCAGTCTTTCACAGAAACTGTCACCTTTTCAACAAATTTCTCTTACATTCTCATGAGCCTACTTAGTGCTCACCCACTTCAGCACACAATTAGTGTTCCCATCTGCTTTCTCTCTGCCTACACACACATGTGCACATGTGTGAGCATGTGAGCAACATGCATGCACACACACGCACTCACCCACTCACACACACACTCACACACACACTCACCCACTCACACCCACTCACACACACGTACTCTCTCTCTCTCACATACACACACAGGCAGAGCATGGCTTTTTAAAGTCCTTGCAACCAGGAAAGAAATATCCACTGAAATGATCCTAAAATGAAATGACCCTAAAACGAATTGTTTCTTGGCAAAAGCTTCTCCCTGGGGAATTTTCAAGCACTGTTACACTCTGGAGTACCATCAGCATAGCATGACTAAGTTCCTCTTTGGTTCTGACACCAAACGCAATGTGTGAGTGGCAGAGAACAGGCACCTCTGCCAAAGTATGGGAATTCAGAGTTCTCGATATTGATTATTTGTCAATTAATGTCTGTTTCCTCCTCTCAACTGTAGGTTCCTTGAAAGCAGAGGTGGGGTCTATTTTCTTGATCCCTGTACCCCAGCACACAGCACTGTGTCCTGCACACAGCAGGTACCCGATAATGGATATTAAGGGCAGGACTCATGCCTAATCGATCTTTGGATCTTTGGAGGCTTCCTAGAACTCAAAGAATGACTGGTATGCAGTAGGCAATCAGGCAGTGCTTGTTGAGAGCATATATTCGGTTCCAAGGAACCAAGAGAACAATTACTGCAGGAATTTGGCTCCCATGTTGCGCTGTTTAGAAAAGGAATTGATGATAATCAAATTCAAGATTTTAACAGATCAGTGCATTGACATCCCCAGGTCACCTCCACTTTGCATGTCTTTTTATTTCCTGGTTGCTGTCCTCAGGTTCTCCCAGATGAGCAAGTTCACACAATCACTCCTGGGTTTTACTCTTGGGGATCTGACTGTCTCTACCTCTCTGTGGCCACCGTGGGCACGGAGCACATGATCCATAGAAGAGAGGGCAGGGGACTGGCTTGCTGCTCTCCAGGAGCAATGGGCCACTCCTCTGGGGACTCAAGTGCTGTCCAGGAGCAACCAAGCACATTATCCCTGAGTTAATTAACTTTGAATTATTGAGAGGAGTCTGTGAAGTTCAGACCCCATGCTCATCTGCAAAGGAATTAATGATTGGAGATTCCATGAGGCAAGTGAGGCGTTAGTTGCTCAGTCGCGTCTGACTCTGTGACCTCGTGAACTATAACCTGCCAGACTCCTCTGTCCATGGAATTCTCTAGGCAATAATATGGGAGTGGGTAGGGATTCACCTCTTCAGACGATCTTCCTGACCCAGAGATCAAACCCGGGTCTTCTGCATTGCAGGCAGATTCTTTACCATCTGAAACATCAGGGAAACCCATGGAGATTCCATACTGCACTATAATTACCCTTCAGACTCACACAGTCCTGCCTGGAAGACCAGGAACATCCTTCTGCCAGACAGACCGCAGAGCTCTGCCTGGCATTCCCGCCTTCCCCGTTGCTGACCCCTCTTCCTCCCACCGTCTCGGTCCCTGGGCCGATTTGCAGCTGCTCTTCAGCGCCCCCTGCAGGAACACTGCAGGCTGGGGCAGCCCAGGACCAACAACCTGTCCTGGGACTCACCCTGCACCTTGACATCAGAACAAGGCACATGTCCTTCAAGATTCAACGGGCATGCACATGGCTGACCCCAGGCTTCCTGCCAGGGCCAACTGCACTCAGCATGTGCTCAGAGCCTGCTCCCAACCCTGCAAGGCCAAGGAACAGATAACAGGGAAGCAAAGTGGGATGGCTTACCTTCTGAGCATCCCTGTGCCATCCACGTATTTGCCGATCACAGAGCCAGATCGCTGCTTACAGCTTGCCTTGGAAGCAGCTGTGTTTGCTCTGGCCGCTTTGTCTTTCTGGAGAAACACAGAATGCCCTCAGATAATCGCCTGCTGATTCGTCCCAGTGTTTGAGCAGAAAAGGGCTCAATTTCCCCACCTCATAGATCAGGCTTGAAATAAAACTCTAAAAGAAGCAAGTGATGGCCTGGGCTCCTTGCTAGCCTTTACCCACTTTCCTTTTGCTATCATCTCTCGTTAGAATTCCTTCACCTCCTGTCTAATAATCTAATCGAAGGAACCAGTTTAGAGCCCCGGGATCTAGGAAGTTACCCTTCACAGGAGTAGTGATCATTTGCAAGAGGATAAATCAGTTCAGCTCAGTTCAGTTGCTCAGTCGTGTCTGACTCTTTGCAACCTCATGCACTGAAGCATGCCAGGCTCCCCTGTCCATCACCAACTACCGGAATGTGCTCAAACCCATGTCTGTCAAGTCAGTGATGCCATTCAACCATCTCATCCTCTGTCATGCCCTTCTCCTCCTGCCTTCAATCTTTCCCAGCATCGGAGTCTTTTCCAGCGGGTCAGTTCTTCACATCAGGTGGCCAAAGTATTGGAGTTTCAGCTTAAGCATCAGTCCTTCCAATGAATATTCAGGACTAATTTCCTTTAGGATCGACTAGTTAGATCTCCTTGCAGTCCAAGGGACTCTCAAGAGTCTTCCCCAACACTACAGTTCAAAAGCATCAGTTTTTTGGTGTTCAGCTTCCTTTATAGTCCAACTGTCAAAGCCATACATGACTACAGGAAAAACCATAGCTTTGACTAGACGGACCTTTGTTGGTAAAGTAATGTCTCTGCTTTTAAGGAGCAAGCATCTTTTAATTTCATGGCTGCAGTCACCATCTGCAGTGATTTTGGAATCCCCCCCCCAAAAAGTCTCTCACTGTTTTCATTGTTTCCCCATCTATTTGCCACGAAGTGATGGGACCGATGCCATGATCTTCATTTTTTGAATGTTGAGTTTTAAGCCAGCTTTTTCACTCTCCTCTTTCACTTTCATTAAGAGGCTCTTTAGGTCTTCTTCATTTTCTACCATAAAGGTGGTATAATCTGAATATCTGAGATTATTGATATTTCTCCCAGCACTCTTGATTCCAGTTTATGCTTCATCCAGCCCAGCATTTCGCATGATGTACTCTGCATTTAAGTTAATTAAACAGAGTGACAATATACAGCCTTGACGTATTCCTTTCCCAATTTGGAACTAGTCAGTTGTTCCATGTCCGGTTCTAACTGTTGCTTCTTGACCTGCATACAGATTTCTCAGGAGGCAGGTAAGATGGTCTGGTATTCCCATCTCTTTCAGAATTTTCCACAGTTTATTGTGATCCACACACTCAAAGGCTTTGACATAGTCAATAAAGCAGATGTTTTTCTGGAGCTCTCTTGCCTTTTCAATGATCCAGCGGATGTTGGCAATGTGATCTCTGGTTCCTCTGCCTTTTCAAAATCCAGGTTGAACATCTGGAAGTTCATGGTTCACATATTGTTGAAATCTGGCTTGGAGACTTTTGAGCATTACTGTACTAGCGTGTGAGATGAGTGCAACTGTGTGGTAGTTTGAGCATTCTTTGGCATTGCCTTTCTTAGGGATTGGAATGAAACCTGACCTTTTCCAGTCCTGCGGCTACTGCTGAGTTTTCCAAATTTGCTGGCATATTGAGTGCAGCACTTTCACAGCATCATCTTTTAGGATTTGAAAGAGCTCAACTGGAATTCCATCACCTCCACTAGCTTTGTTTGTAGTGATGCTTCCTAAGGCCCACTTGACTTCACATTCCAGGATGTCTGGCTCTAGGTGAGTGATCGAACCATCATGGTTATCTGGGTCATGAAGAGCTAAATGTAGGATGCACAAAACAGACTGTGCATCTTTCAGTCACACACACTGTTCAGTGGAGCTTCAATCCCTCTTAATTTTCAAAGTCCCAGATGCTGCTATTGTTCAGTTGCTCAGTCGTGTCCGACTCTTTGTGACCCCATGGACTGTAGCACACTAGGCTTCCCTGTCCTTCACTGTTTCCTGGAGTTTGTTCAAACTCATGCCCATTGAGTTGGTGATGCCATTCAACCATCTCATCCTCTGTCGCCCCCTTCTCCTTCTGCCCTCAATCTTTCCCAGCATCAGGGTCTTTTCCAATGAGTCAGCTCTTCACATCAGGTGGAGCTTCAGCTTAAGCATCAGTCCTTCCAATGAATTTTCAGGGTTGATTTTCTTTAGGATTGACTGGTTTGATCTCCTTGCTGTCCAAGGGACTCTCAAGACTGTTCTCCAGCACCACAATTTGAATGCATCAGTTCTTCAGTGCTCAGCCTTCTTTATGGACCAACTCTCACACCGGTACATCACTATTAGAAAAGCCATGTAAACTGAAATCACTCAGTCGTGTCCAGCTCTTTGCAACCCCATGGCCTCTATGGTCCATGGAATTCTCCAGGCCAGAATACTGGAGTGGGTAGCCATTCTCTTCTCCGGGGGATCTTCCCAACCCAGGGATCGAACCCAGGTCTCCCTCATTGCAGACAGATTCTTTACCAGCTGAGCCACCAGGGAAGCCCTGGAAAACCCATGGGTTTGACTATATGGACCTTTGTCAGCAAAGTGACGTCTCTGCTTTTTAATACACCATCTAGGTCTGTCATAGATTTCCTTCCAGACAGGAGGATTGATTAGCCCAGTGCCCTGTCCACAGCTACAAAGCTAGAACAGAGTATTTCAGATCTTTTGTGGAAGCAGGCTGGGTGAAATAATTCGTAACGTATCCTCAGTGGAGAGCCTAGTGGAGTTGGGGGCTTGCACCCCCCTCTCCAGGGCTCCCTAACAGATGTCTTCCAGATGAGAGGGACTCAGATCCCAGAAGAGTCGCTCATTAATCAGCCAGTCCCATGGTTCTGAGTGATCTTTAATGAGAGAAGGAGGGGTGGCCATGCTCCCAGGGCCCCAGAAGGTATGACTGTGATTCCAAATTAATCTTTAATTATTATCCAGCATAAACATGATTTTATCCTCTTTTTCCTATTCCCCATGAGGGTTCTCAATTCCATTCCCTTCTCGAAACAGAATGAGTTCGGCAAGGGAAGAGAAGCAAGGTCAAGGGATTAGGGTGACATTTGGTAGGAAGTTTTAAAATAAATTTATTGTTACTTCTAAAACAATTATAACCATTATTACCATCAAACAAACATGTGTAGGCTTAAGCCTTGCTCTGATAGTACACATAGGTGGGCGCAGAGACGTGTCGCTGCCAGCCGGGGGTAGAAGAGAGACGGTTATGTGCAAGGTCCCTAAGCGGTTTGCAGCTACAAATCAGCTTAGACCAAACGAGGGGCAAGGTAGCTGGCAGGTGCTGGCTGCATTTAGGGAACTAACAGCTTAGGGGCTAGCACAAGACCTCCTTTTCCAAGAGGTTTTCACACACACACAAAACAATCCCTGTACACTACTATGTATAAAATAGCTAGCGGTGTTGGTGGTGTTTAGTCACTTAGTCGTGTCCGATTCTGTGCGACCCCATGGACTGTGGTCCACCAGGCTCCTCTGTCCATGAGATTTCCCAGGCAAGAATACTGGAGTGAGTTGCCATTTCCTTCTCCAGGGGATCTTCCCAACGTGGGGCTCGAACCCCTGTCTCCTGCATTGGCAGGTGGGTTCTTTACCACTGAGCCACCAGGGAAGCCCAAAACAGCTAGTATAAACTGCTCTATAACACGAGGAGCCCCGCCTGGGGCTCTGTGACCACCTGGAGGAATGGGATGGGGGATGGGAGGGAGGCTCGAGAGGGACGGAATACACATGTAGTTATGGCTGATTTGCATCATTTACAGCAGAAACCAACACAACATTATGTCCTCCAACTAAAAATAAAAAAAACAAAAAGCCCTACAAAATGGAAAAAAGGGGAAGAATTCCCTTTCCTCCTGTGATCACTGGGGTCATGGTCCAAGGAGGCCAACAATTTACCCAAGATCACACATGAAATTCACGATGCATAATCCTGATAGAATGTCACATGGATCCATCCTGTCCCCCCTTTTCTTCCCTTCAGAGCATTCAACAGCTACTCTCTAAAGGGGAGGGTGATAGGAGACCCTGAAAGCCTAGATTCTGTTTAATGCATTCACAAATGAAAATCTTCATGTAAATAAAGGATTTTTGTTCTATTTGGGAAAGTATATAGGTTTAGAGGAGCAGCAGTCCCCATAGGATTAAAAAATTGTATATAAAATCAACTATGTAAATGATGAAATACACATTTTAATTCGCTCTATGACAGTCTAAAATGTAAAATTTTCATCAAGACATCAAAATCTTACTGAAGGAAAAAATAGGACATTTTGGTTTAAAAGTGATGGCGACATTTCAACTCATCGTTTCTACGTTCATAAAGTGAGGGACCCTCCCGAGTGTTCCAGTCTCATGATGCCAAAAGAAAAGTGTGTCACTTCACAGAAAATTAACACACGGCGACCCCATGGGTCACCTTGAACCTTTACTACTTTTGAAAACTCTTATGCCACCGTCCTGCCCACACGAAGGTGCAGCCAGACCCCAAGCCTCAGGGCTTTCTTGGGCCCGTCCCAGCATGGCCTGGCTGCCACTGGACCCCAGTCCTTGTCTTTCCCCTGCTGCGCGGAGGGGGCACCGGCCACTTACCTGGAAACGTATGTCCTGTTCATCCCGGAGATGCTTGTTCCTTTCCCTGCAGATGGAAGAGGGAATCTGTTCAAACATGGGGCCTGCGGTCAACAGATCCACAGCACTGGTTTGACGGTCAGGTGGGTGCAGAGGACAGCTGTGCATGCCAGACCCGGGGAGGGTGTGGAACTGCTTTCCTTAGGGATGGTGGCTAAGGGCAGAGGGTGATTGTGTCTAAGTCCGGTCAGAGGCAGGGGGACAGAATGGCCTTATGGTCATTGGCCTTAGAGCCACCTGACATCTAGGCTCCCCTCAGCGGGTTGGGGGGCCAGGTGAGGCAGAGAGGCTCCAGGCTGGGACTCTGAACAGACACTGGTGGTGGTTTAGTCACTAAGTCATGTCTGACTCTTGCGACTCCGTGAACTGTAACCCGATAGGCTCTTCTGTCCATGAGATTCTCCAGGCAAGAATACTGGAGTGGGTTGCCATTTCCTTCTCCAGGGGATCTTCCCAACCCAGGAATTGAACCCGGGTCTCCTGCATTGCAGGCAGATTCTTTCCCAACTGAGCTATAAGGGAAGCCCTAGTCTCCATTAAAAAGACCCACAAATGTTGGCAGAGCAGTGCCTTGTCAGCCTCCCTGCTCACTCACTGTACCTGCCCTTGTAGTTTTTCAAAGTACAAATAGCAAAAAGGGGGAAAGCCCAACCAAACGCGTTTCTGTGCATCTTGTTCTCTGCCTTCACTAAATCCTTCCTGAGAATCCAGACCTCCTCTCACACCGATGAGAACTCAGCCACCTAAGAAAATCTCTTTCATCTTCCTGGGCTTTTGAATCACATCTTAAGTGAAGAAATCTGAGATGCATTCTCTTTGGAGAATTTTTTTATTTGGTGGCATCAAAGATGCCAGACACATTGATCTTACCTTGCCTTCAAATTAAAAAAAAAAAAAAAACAACTAAAAACCTTAATAAGGTAGTGATTCAAACCTGCTGGCAATTAAAAAAATTAGAACCCAAATTTCATCACCATTTCCCAAGAGGTGTTTCGCGGGCAGCAGGTTAAGTAACTTAGAAACCTCAGAGGCAAGATTGAAAATTCCATCTTTCCCCATACCTGGCTGGGTTTGGTCATTTGGGGGAGTTTTTTGAGAGTATTCCAAACCAGATTAAACCAGTGAGCTTGAATTTACAGAAAGCTTAATAGGCTGAGAAGACTCCTATCTTGCTGCCCTGTTTGTGATTCATTTACTCATTCAACAAACGCTAACAGAATGTGGCAGGATAAAAGGCACGAGCCAGCTAGGGATTCATTTCTGGCTCCGGGAGCGAGTGTCTGTGTCATGTTGGTAAATTACTTCATTTCTCTGATACCCGCTTCCTCTTGGATGAACTCCTGTATTAACAACCCTCTACCTTCCCAGGTTTGCTTGAGGACAAAGGAGAGTACGTTTGACATGGACGAGATGCTCGATCAGTTCAGTTCTCTCCTACCTCGTCAAGTACCATGCCAGGCACCCAGAAGAATGGGGCAATGCCCCCCTGCAGAGGTACAAACTGGAGAGGGGGGAGGGCACCTGTGCAAACGGACCGAACACAGTGGAGAGATGGTGCTCAGCCGTCCAACAGGATGTTGAGGACCAAGGGAATGAGGGTGCTCTCTCAGCACACAGGTGAGACTCTGGCGGTGGGGGGGGGGTGCCCTTCTGGGCTCTGGGATGAGCACGCACCTCAGGAAATCCAACTGCTTCAGGAGCCCCGACTTCTCCCGCTGTAGACTCTCGGTGACGCGGTACACTTCCCTGAGGGGTACAAGAGGGCAGTGATGAGTGACCGCACCAGGTGGGGCAGTCCCAGGGCACGAGGTGGTGATGAAGTCAGACCCTGGAGATGGTACCCGGGCTGGTCCTCCGCTGGAGAGCAGGGCCTTGTGCAGGGGCTTAAACCAGGAATCAGCGAGTCATCTCAGGCACCTGTTTGGAAGGTGAACTTATCCCCATTTTACAGACATAGATCACAAGACAGGTTCACTAACTCTCTCCCTGGACAACCCAGGACGGAGCCAGGGTCCTAATCCAGACCCCTGGTCCCAGTGATACTGCTTCATGATGACTGTACTGTCTTCTCAGTCTCCCAGTGGTCCTGCCCTGCCCAGAGGTCAGGGAATCAGAATCAACTCTCTTCTCCAGCCCAGTCTCGGAGGGTGGGAGCAGAGAGTGCTTTCCCACCACCCCCACCTCCACCATGCTGGCTTAGTTTATTTTCAGGAGCTACTGAAGAACCACTTTCCCTTCTCCACCTTCCCACAACAGTCTCCAATCTGTTCCCGAAGAGCTGGAATTTCCACTGTTGCGCATTCATTTCTTTGACTAAAAATTTCCATCTCTAGCTACAAAGCAGAGATTTAACGTATCAGTCATAATCCACTGTTTACATCACAATGTGAGCGTGTCAATAGAGAATCTGGGGGAAGGAGAGAGAGAGGCTGAGAGGTACACTCTGGGTGGCTGGAGGGCAACTTCGGCTGCGATGTGGGGCTCTGAGTGCTGGGTTTGCCTTTGTGTTCTCGCTGCACTGTCTGGCTTGAAAGCTGCAGTTAGCAAACAGCAGCGGGAAGAAAGGAGAGAGGGCCAAAGGAGGGGTGGGAGGGAAGAGGGCAGGGAGGGAGGATGGGGGGGTGGAAGAGAGATGGAAGGGAGGAGGGAGTGGTGGCGAGGAATTCAGCCTCTCTCAGAAAGGGAAAAAATAGAGAATGGGGAGACCCTGGAAAATAAACCTTGCTTAACTGCGCAAGTCTGCCTCCATCCTTCCCTCTGGGGGTTCAGAGACTTTAAATCTCCCCCAGGCTTACGGCAAAGGGTCCAAGGTTCCACATTTTCAAGCCACAGCCTGGTTTTAGAGCAGGAAGCACCTTGCACCCGATAAACGCATCGCTGCCATGGGCTGCCTGGAGGGTGCACAGACCGTGCTGGGCAAGGACTGCCCCCCGACCACCCCGCCCATGTCACGACTGAGCTTGCTGGGGCCACAGGACGCTCCCGCAAGCTTGCGATCTCCTGATTCCTTCCGCTGTATCTGTGGGTTTTTCCCCTTTATAGAATAATTAGAAAGTCAATTTGCAACAGTAACAAACTGCCTCAAATTCTAAGTTCACCTTAGACAATCCTAATTAAGCAACAGAGGTTCTCTGGCTCCTGCAGAGCTGCGAACTCCCAACATTTTATTACCAATTATATTTAATTTCGACTTGAGGGAAAACAATGTCTCTCCCATTATCCACGCTGGATCCCTAAGCCCCAGCCCGGGATTCTGCTCACTGACCAGACGGGCACTACGTGAGCATACCTGCCGGCTTGCTCCTTGGTTCCCTTGGAGCCAAGATTGCCTCCAGCTGGCTTTGGGGCTCCCCAGCCCCCACCCTGCGTCCTGCTTCTTCCTGGGAGCAGATGGCTTTCCCCGCTGAGGACAGTCACTCAGTGGAGACCTGAGGGCTGGGGTCTCACAGTGTTTGTGCAAGTGTGAGTGTGTGCGTGCTCAGTCGTGCCTGACTCTGTGTGACCCCATGGACTGTAGCCCACCAGGTTCCTCTGTCCATGGAATTCTCCAGGCAAGAATACTGGAGTGAGTTGCCATGCCCTCCTTCAGGGGATCTTACTGGCCCAGGGATCGAACCTGTGTCTCCTGTTTCTCCTGCATTGGCAGGCAGGTTCTTTAATGCTGAGCCACCTAGGAAACTCCACAGTATTTGATGGAGGGGCCAGGTCCTCCACAATGAAGAGGACCTCATTCCAGCCCTCCTCTGGCCCTGCTGACACAGCACCAGGAGACCCTGGCACCGTGACAACACACACATATACACACCCGTACGTGGTTGTATCAGTGCACACATGCGGCTGTTTGTCTAGTAGACATACAGATATCCGACTATCTAAACATGCATGCACACACACACACACACACACACACACACATTCAGATAGATTTTGGGGGTCTTAACAAAAAGAAAAGCATTTCTGCAAAAAAAGATACTTAGATATTTAACAAAATGACCCTGAACGTCCTTCTGACCTAGACATTCAACAAGTTTGTGCCTGGCTGGCGGGTGAAGGGTAAAGCACAGAGCCTGCCATTTCATGGAAGCAGCTGGGGAGAGGTTTACCGCTGCCCAGAGGGAAGGGCTGTCGGCCTGGTTTTTATCAGAAAGAAACATGGAGCATTCTCCAAAGGATCCGTCAAGTGAAAAAGGCAGGCTGATGTAGAGCAGTGCACTGGCACTCTGTGTGTGTGTGTGTGTGTGTGTGTGTGTGTGTGAGCTCACTGTGACCCCATGGACTGTAACCCGCCAGGCTCCTCTGTCCATGGCATTCTCCAGGCAAGAATCCTGGAGTGGGTTGCATGCCCTCCTCCAGGAGATCTTCCCCACCCAGGGATTGAGCCTGCATCTCTTATGTCTCCTGCACTGGCAGGTGGGTTCTTTACCCCTAGCGCTGCCTGGAAGTGTCTGTGTGTGCATGCATACACCCTGGAAAGATCCACAAGAAGCCACAACTGGTGGCCTCCTCACAGGAGGCCAGGAGTCAGGGGGTGGGGCTGCAAACCACTTTGAATTTTGTGCCTTCTCATAAACCACTGCCTCAGATACAAATTGATTAACAAAATAGACAGGGATGCTGCTTTTCAGCTGACCTTCATCTCTCCTCTGACTGTTCTTCTTCATCTCTTTTTAAAATCTAGTTCTCCTTCCTTGGGCATCTTCAGAGAACAGGAAGACTCATTTTACCATCCTGAGATCCAGTTGACACATGACAGGGCCTGATGATCTAGAGGCCTTCTCTCCCCGCTTCTCGCTTCTCTGGAGAATCACCCAGCAGTCAGACATCTCTGGGGATGCACAGGATGGGATGAAGAGACTCTGACCTTGCTTTCTCGCCCTGTGTAGCTGTGTGGCTGCAGGTTTCTTGCTACCCCTCTCTGAGCTTCCATTTTCCATTTGTGAAATGGAGAGGTGGCTTCCAGCACAGAGGTCCTGTCCGTACTGCTGGTCAGGGGTCCTGCTCTATGGAGGGCATGCTAAGCTTCTCCCCGCCCTTCTCTCCCATCTCCCTGGACAAGACACCCTCTCCTGGGCTCCAGCAGGCTCTCTGGCTGCACAAGCTGCTGCAAGCTTCTTCAAAACAAGCCCTGAAGGTTCTGCACTCATTTATCTCTCCCTCCTAGCCCCTCCTTCCCTCTTTTTCAATTCCCAGACTCCAGAGATTGTGTCTCTGGCTTGCTTGATGAAGATAAGGCTTCAGAAAGATTTTAATCCTCACACCGTGATTGGTTACCCCAGCTCTGGTGCTTAGCTCTGGTGCTTACTTCTACCTGCAGGCCTCACGCCTGTGCTTTTGGATGTTCGTTGCTTTTAGGCCTTGATTGAATTTTAAGAGGCTGAATCCTTAATTCTGTTTATAAAGTTAAGCACCTTGTTGACCCGCTCTCAATGGGGAGGAACTGATTTTGCTTGTTTCCAATGAAATACACCATTCCTCCACCCGGCATCCGAGGCTTGGAACCAAAGGGCTGGTTTTGCTTTAAGCCAGTGGCTAGGCAACTGGAGGGATCTTCCTAGGGTAAAAAACTCCAAATCTAAACACATGTCCTACTTCTCACCCTGGATCAGTCCCAAATCATACAAAACACTACACATGAGCCAGACAATGGAACAATTTGATTTAGGCTAATAGATTCTCAGGTGGCAGAGTGGTAAGGAATCTGCCTGCCAATACAGGAGACGCAAGAGAGTGGGTTTGATCCCTGAATCAGGAAGATCCCCTGGAGGAGGGCATGGCAACCCACTCCAGTATTCTTGCCTGGAGAATCCCATGGACAGAGGAGCCTGGCAGGCTATAATCCAAAGGATTGCAAAGAGTCAGACATGACTGAGCACACACACATCCTGCAATGGACCAAGGTTTTGCCAGGGGTCAGAGAGAGGCAGGTCAGAGGGAGGCAGAGATGTGGGGCTGCCCCCATAGGGCCCATACCGAGGAAGGCTGGTGGGAAAAAAATGGGCAGAGCTGGGATGCCGCTTCCAGGACCCTGTCACACGCCCTGTGACATGCTGCACACGAATGGCACGCTGACCTGGGAAGACTTCCCGGCCCGCCGTGGCCTCCAGGGTCAATGTCTGGCCACTCCCCTCACTCAGCATCTTTCACCAGACTGCCTGCTACTTGGTTGGATAACGTCTTCCTGATTGTTTAATACAAGGTTGCATGTTTCTTGTCAACCCCAGGTAATGCCTGGCACAGAGCTGGTCTGCATCATATCTCAGGGTTCTAGAAGAAGGTTAGGAAAGGGACCAAGGCACCCCATCCCCATGCTGTGAGCAAGGAGAAGAGTCTGGGGTGGGGGCAGGGGGCGGGGGCCGCTCATAGGCTCAGAGCAGGGGACCAATGCGGAGGGCAGCGCCCGGGCGGCGCAAGGGTCACACTCACATCTCCTTCTCCTGGTGGAGCTTGTGGGCCTCTTGCCGGAGGCTCTCCAGCTGCTGCTGGGCGTCCTGGAGCTCCCGGGACGTCCGCTCCAGCTCCCGTGCCAGCTCCTGGTTGGTGAGCCTCAGCTTGGTGTTCTCAGCCTTGGTCTCGTGCTTGTCGTTGTGCAGGGCGGCGCACTGGCCTTCCAGCTGGAAAGGCGGAAGGGGGCGTGCAGGGGGGAGTGATGAGGGCCCAGCTCCGTCAGGCTGCCTCTCCTGGCCCCGCCTGGCTTCCTCCACATGGCGGGCAGCGGCCCTTGCTACTGCCCCTCACCATCCTCCAGCCTCAGTCAGCTTCGTCCTGCCCCTCAATTCACACACATACACACACACATACACACATACTTCCGAGGGCAGGAAGGAGCTTCCAGAGCACTCCTGTCTCTCCCCTGTCTCCATGGGGCTACTAAACAGGCCGGGGAGCACTTTCCTAGTCATGCAGTCATTGAGAATCCACCTGCCAATGCAGGAAACATGGGTTTGATCCCTGGTCCGGGAAGATTCCACATGCCAAGGCCCAACTAAGCTAAAACTACTGAGCCCACGCTCTAGATCCCGGAGCTGCAACTACTGAGCCTGTGTCCTAGAGCCTGTGCCCCACAAGAGAAACCATCACAATGGGAAGCCCTCAGACCGCAACAGCGAATAACCCTGGCTCACCAACTAGAGAAAAGCCCACCCAGGACCCAGCATAGACGAAAGGAAATCAACTTTTAAAGGCAACATTGTTTCTAAAAAAAATAGTCCTGGGAGGGGGCTGCACCATTCAGAAAGACCATCATCTGTCCCTCTATCCCAGTGCTGATGACCATCGTCTCACCAGCGGTCTCATCAATGTCTTAGGCTCTCGTGAAATCCCCCTTGTCCTCCACACCAGTTGCTTTCCCTTGGTCCTTGATGGAGGTGGAAACCACTAAGTGACATTCTTCACACAGCCACCTTCCCCAGCCATGAATCCTGAATATCAATCTACTTATTCCCTTTTCTTCTCTCAGCTAAAACAAGTCCGAGTCCTTTCATCTAAACAAGTTTGCTATGGTAGCCACAAACCCTGCAAACCCTTAGGAAATAGCCCAAACAGGTCCAACCAAACATGGACCTTTTCTCATGTCCCTAAAGCAACTAAACACCTTAAGGTTTTTCTGGCTGGCGATTAGTCTGTACAGAGCTTCTAACCCTCTCACCAGAGGAGGACTCAAAGCAAGGCACATAGATCATAATGGATTTAGTTGAATGAATGTGGCCAGTAAGAGAAAAAGAAGCAAAAACAAGAATGTCTGTGCCAATCTCAAGAGGCCCCTGAGTAATCAGGCAAACATGCAGTAATTAAGTCGAGTGGCAATCATTCATTGAGGGGATAAATCTATTGGGGAAGAACTTAATACATAACAGTAAGGAGGAGAAAGGGGAGGAAAAGCCAGGTATGACTGTGCAGGGGGGATGGGGAGGCAGCTGGCAGTTCCGGGCGTTGAGAGCATCTCGCTGCAGGAGAAAAACCAAAATCTACGGGTTGGGGATTCGCAGGAGTGGAACTGTCTTCCAGCCTTAGCATGGGGTGTCTTCAAGCATATTTTAATGTGTTGCTAAAAATATCCCTCTCTTTTCAAATGGAAGCAATGCGTCTGGGTCTGTCCAGGGCTGGATTCCTTCCAGCACCAAACGAAACAAAACAGGAGGCCAAGTGACAAACGGTCCTCTCTCCACCTATGAGCCCCTTGCTTTGAAGAGGAGGCTTGCCTAGGTTTCCCTGGTGACTCAGACGGTAAAGAATCTGTCTGCAATGCAGGAGATCCAGGTTCCATCCCTGGGTCAGGAAGATCCCCTGGAGAAGGGAATGGCAATCCACTCCAGTCATTTTGTCTGAAGAATTCCATGGGCGGAGGAGCCTGGTGGGCTACAGTCCATGGGGTCACAAAGAGTCAGACACAACTGAGTGTCTGACTTCCATTTTTCACAGTCCATCTCTCTGGGGTCCTGTGCCAGGCTCTCCCAGACAAGGTGGATGGACACAGGGATACTGCCTAGCCTGTCTCTGGGGACGCGGGTGCATCAAGGGAGCGTTTGGTGTCTGCATCGATCCTGCGGGGTGATGGGAACAGCCACAAAGGGGCTGATGCACATTTTTTGGGTGCATGGGAAGAGAGGGAGTGGACAAACGGAACTTTGAGGAGCCTCTTCCAACTGGAGGCATCCCCAGCCATCCCGGCAGGAAGACATCACAGTCTGCAGCCTCCTCCCCCCAAATCAGTGACTGCATCCCCATGCCTCAGCGTCTCCCTCCTTTCTCACACAGGATGCAGGAAACAAACTACCGTTTCGGCATCCTGGTGGCTCCCGGGCATAATTAAACCCCCATGTCTGCAGATATCTCGACTCTCAGCAATTTTTCCAAGTTAAACACCAGGCATGGGAGAGTATAAAGGTTTTATCTCGGGATCACCTATGATTTCAAATGCTCTCTTTTGTACCACTAAATGATTCTTCTCAGATTGGAAAAAATTAAGTCCTTAAGTGAAGGGCAGGGAAAGTGGGTAAGAAAAGAGGGGAGGGTAGAGTGGAGAGTCGGGTCCTCTGAGGATGCGGAGGAAAGCTTACCCGCTTCTGCTTCTGGACCAGCTGTTCCAGCTCCTGCTCCTTCGAGAGCAGCTTCCGCTCCAGCTCCTGACTGCGGGCCCGGAACCTCTCCGTGTCCTGCCAGACCAGGGAGAGGGACACATGAGGCCCAAAGGCACCTGGATGGAGATTGCTTTTACCACCTTGAACCTGCTCAACAGCAGGATCCACTCAGCCTTTGGACTTCCAGCAGTCTCGTACGGATGTGAGAGTTAGACCATAAAGAAGGCTGAGCGCTGAAGAACTGATGCTTTCGAATTATGGTGCTAAAGAAGACTCTTGAGAGTCCCTTGGACAGCAAGGATATCAAACCAGTCAGTCCTAGAGGAAATCAACCCTGAATATTCACTGGAAGGACTGATGCTGAAGCTTAAGCTTCAATACTTTGGCCAGCTGATGTGAAAGCTGACTCACTGGAAAAAAGCCCAACACTGGGAGAGACTGAGGGCAGGAGGAGAAGGGGACAACAGAGGATGCGATGGTTGGATGGCATCATCCATTCAATGGACATGAGTTTGAGCAAAATCTGGGAGATAGTGAAGGACAGAGAAGCCTGGTGTGCTGCAGTCCATGGTGTTGCAAGGAGTTGGACACAACTTAGCCACTGAACAGCAACAACAACAACACGACATCCCAGGGCTACAGTGACCCCCTGTCCAGGTGGACAGGGAGCATGTACAACTCTAGCTCCCTCCAGGAATGACCAAAATCAAGCCCAGCCTTCAGGATGCTTCATAGTAAACCCGTCCATCCCTCTGTACATTTACTCCTTGTTCACTCATTGATCCAACAGATACTTGTTGATTGCCAGCCTACTCTGCTCCAGGCACAGTGGGGGTGCCAAGGGTACATCAGTCCATAAAAGACGATGACCCCTGCTCTCTGGGGCTAACATCTTAATAGGACGAGACAGATCACAATCGATCAAAATGAACCAGTAAATTACACGTCAAATTTGAAGGTGACAACGACCTTGAGAAAAAAAATCAAAGCCAAGAAATAGGAAATCAATAATGCCAGGGGGATATTGCAATCTTAGATCCAGGAGGCAGAAGGTGGTCAGAGCACCTGCTATTTCGCTATTTCAGCCTGGCCGGCACAGCCAAGCCCCGGACTTGAATGGACTCTCACCTTTAGGAGAAATTGCTCCTTCTCAGTTTTGATTTGCTGTTCCATCTCCTCGTAGAGGTGCTGGATTTCTTCATCATAGGCAGCGATTTTCCTGCACGGGTGACAGAAGGAGAGTCTGATGAGATGCCTCTGTTCCCCAGTGGAGCTCTGGGTGGTGGGGGTGACCACGTAGGTGGGTCAGCCAAGGCTGCAGGGTCAGCTCCTCAGGACCAGTGGACCACGGAGGACCGGCAGGACCCTCTCGTCCCCCTGTCTCCCGGCCATCCCTCCCAGATGATCCACACACCTGCTGGTGGGGAGGGGAGCATCCCGGCTCCGTCTTCTTGTGCTCTGCTTTATGCCAGCACCAACCCACCCAGCCTTGTGACACTCATCATCGCATTGCCTGCCGATCCCTATGCTTGTCCACAGCATAAAAGTGTGGGCTTTTTCTCTGCTTGGTTTTTGGTTTATCTCTTTCCCACATTGGATACTTTCTCTCCACCTGGCTTCATCAGCACTGTCTGAGCTGTACTCTCCTGGAAACTGTGTGCTGAACTTTGGGTGACCCTCACTTTTCACAGGCTCTCAAAAGGTTCCATGGTGATGACCACCACCTCCATCACAACACGCCCTACAGAGGGAGGGGCTGCTCCTGTCCAAGGACTCAGACCATCTCAGCACAGGGCCATGGGGAGAGTGAAACTCAAAATGTTAGTCTCTCAGTCAGGTCCGACTCTTTGCAACCCTATGGGCTGTAGTCCACCAGGCTCCTCTATGCATGGAGTTCTCCAGGCAAGAATACTGGAGTGAGTCGCCATTCCTTTCTCCAGGGGATCTTCCTGACCCAGGGATTGAACTCAGGTCTCCCGCACCACAGCCCATGGGTTGGTCTTTCCTCACTCGCTGTCTGCTGGGGGAACCTGGCACCCCACACACAGGCCACAGTTTTGATTGGCGTCCTTTCAGTTCTACAGGAACCACACCGCTGCCCCAGAATGCATGGTCAAGGTTACTCACTGGTCTAAATTCACCTTCCTGGTTGTACCTCCAAGACCATAAACCTGACTTGGAGTGAGTACCGCATTGGCCCAGGGCTGTGCCCAGAGAGAAGGGCACAGCTCCCCAAGACTGCTCTGAGCTGAGGCTCTCTGCTCACCACTGGACCTCGCATTCTGGGAATAACAAGTGTCTTTTTGGCAAAGAGGGAGAACTCTCTTCTCGGTAAATGACAAATATTTGGATTGCTGCTTTGGTTCTTAGCTACCCCACAATTACAAGAAAATCTTGGCGAGAAACAAGAAACTGAGACACCTGCTGTTGTACAGGGACCCCTGGGGGACAGAAATGGATACAGTGGATGGGAAATTTCAGAGAAAAAGATGGTCTTCCCCTGGGCCCTGGAATTATCTTCCTGTGATGGAAGAAATTCAAATGCTACATGGCAAATGGTATCTTGGAAAACTACAGACAGTGATTCCAACTATACAAGCACCAGAGAACTGATAAAGTGAGATGAGAAAAACTTTGAAATGGATTTGGCGCTGCTAAAGTCATACTAATTAAAATCATTCATATAAGCCATGTACCATGTAAACCTAATAACCATGCAGGACATTAATTCTACATTATCATTAAATGTGTTACATTAACTTGAAGTTTTATTGGATTAAACTAATAAACTTTATGCTTTTCGTGCTCACATGTCAGTTTGTTAGTCATGAAGTAAGTAATTTTATAAACACAGATGTGAGAATTGGACTACAAAGAAGGCTGGGCACCAAAGAATTGATGCTTTTGAACTGTGGTGCTGGAGAAGACTCTTGAGAGTCTCTTGGACTGCAAGGAGATCAAAACAGTCCATCCTAAAGGAGATCAGTCCTGAATATTCATCGGAAGGACTGATGCTGAAGTTGAGAAACTCCAATACTTTGGCAAAGAGCTGACTCATTAGAAAAGACCCTGATGCTGAGAAAGATTGAAAGCAGGAGGAGAAGGGGATGACAGAGGATGAGATGGTTGGATGGCATCACTGACTCGATAGACATGAGTTTTGAGCAGAGTTCAGGAGATGGTATAGGACAGGGAAGTCCATGGGATCTTGACAAGTTGCGCAGAACTTAATGACTGAACCTCAAGGACAACGGCAAAACAAGTGGAGGGAAGAGAGATGAAGCCTCTGAATGGCACCTACCCCAGCCCTCATCACGGAGGAGGGGCCCACCACAAAGAAGCCCTGGGATGCAGGCGGGCATCAGTGGTCCTGGCCCCATACGGGCTCCCACATGGAGCTCATACTCTGGAAATGCTTTTGAACAAACCTGGTCTCCTTGGAGGCTGCTGAGGCATGAAGGACTTCAGAGGTTGAGCCGTGACCCAAGGCTGGACACACAAGCCCGAGAATGAGAATATTAAGGTGCTGTGTACACCACGGGCATTACTAACCCAGCTCAGGGGGTGCAGATGACCAGGGTTATGATCCCAGAACCAGCTCATTTCCTCTGTGTGACCTTGGGTAAATGCTTCGACATCCTTTGATCCCAGGATAACAGCTGCTCCCCGTTCCTCCCAGCATCATCACAATGAACGAGCCAGTAAAGTGTTTGGAACTACAAAGTCCTAGATGGATATAAGGGATTATTTATTATCCTAATTATTATCCTGGGCTGCAGAGGGCGAGGGCCAGTGCTCCCCAAGGGGTGGAGGGTCTTCGTTTTAAGGATAAAAGGGCTGCTGGGTTTGGAAAGGGTCAGAAGCAATCAAAAAGTTGAAGAACAGAAAGCTTAGTCAATAAAACCTCCTGTCAAAGTGATCCATTAGAGACGCAGGCTGTGTGTGAGCAGGGGCTGCAGAGAAATTACTTCTCTGGGAGAAACAGTGGCGAGAGGCACTCTCAAAAGATGCGGGCATATGGCATGTGGTGCCCCAGCCAAGCTCACCACATTCTGCCATCAGAGGAAAGAGGCAACCGATTGTGTTTGCTTATTACACACCCCTTTGTTGCCACAGTTTCTGGAACCACTCAGATTGCCTGATGCACAAACACAGACTCTGGAGTCTTCTCCATGAGGATTTCTCCATCTGTTCTGATTTCCTGACCCCCTTCCCTGGCCTCAGAGAACACCACATGTCTTTATTTGAACCTTTCAAAGTCGTGAATGATTCTTTCCTTTATGCAGTCTCCACTAGGTTATGGACACTCAGACACTGAGGTCACCCACAGGGCCTGTGCTCAAAGTGTTAACACTGAAAATCTGTGAGAAACAAATATAAGACTTTGGATACCAGATTCAAAAGTCCATGGGTGGACCACATGGGGTGGCAGGGAAATGCCAGATAATATCTCCACCAAGTATGTACCCAAACTGCTTTAGAACAGCTCCAGTGAGAGAGAATGCTGGGTTTCTAACCAGCTCTTTCAGAGCAAATGACCTACCGAAAGCCAGGGTGAAAGGTCCAACCAACCTCAAGAAGACAGCGCCATCCTGGGTATCTGACTGCGGTGGATGCCCCCTCTCGCAAGGATCACTTGTGTGTGTGTGTGTGCGTGTGTGTGTGTGTGTGTGTGGTGTGTGCATGTTCACATTATCAGGTGTATTGGAGATCTAAGGATGGGACGTGTGTGGGAAGAAAGGAGGGCTGGAGACAGCGCTGTTCCCCATCAGTACAAGGCTTAGGTTCAGAGAGAATTCTCAGGGAGCAAGACCTTTCCCTGCCAGCCTCTGACAGGCACCGTGGAAATTAATTAACCTTCACCAACTGCACATGGAGAGTTAAGGTAGCAGGCGTGAGCTGAGTATTTTAATCCTCAGCACCACTGGGGCCCCAGCTAACGGTGCATGGGTGAGGCCTTCCCGCTGTCGAATATTAATTGGTCAAAATATATTTTTTTTCCAGTTTGCTCTCTCCTTTTCCTTTCCTTAGGAACAAAGGGTCTCAGAAAATCATCAGGTCCAGTATCTAGGTTCTAAGCAGGATGTGCTGAAATTACTCCAGGAAACAATGCAGTGTCTTCCTTCCCTAAATGGAGGCGTAGTTTTGACCTTGGACAGGACAAGCAGCATTTGTCTGCACTTTAGATACATTTCAGAAACTTGAACTCAAAGGACAGCTTAAGAAATGGCCACAGGCTTGGAGAGGGGTCATTCTGATTTCATGTGCTTGCCTGTGGACGGGCAGTGGTCTGATACACAGGACTCCAGTTTACAGAGCCTGGTGAAAGGCAGATGCAGAGAGAGGAAGGGCCCCCTCCCATCACAGACAAGTGTCCTGTGTCCCCACAGGAAGGGAAATGAGGGTCGAGGCAGGGAGCGGGGCCAGTCTGTGGTCACCCAGTTTCCTGGGGCCTCTTATCCCGTGTCTACCCACAGTACCAGTCTGTCCTTGCAGCATCCACTTTTCAGACAAATATATGATATCACATATGTGGGATCTAACAAAAATGGTAGAAGTAAACTTATTTACAACACAGAAATAGAGGCACAGACATAGAAAACAAACGTACGGTTACTGGGGAGGAAAGTGGGGGTGGGGAGGGGAGATTGGGATTGACACATACGCACTACTATATAGAAAACAGACAAGTAATAAGGACCTACTGTAATAAGTACTCTACTCTGTAACGACCTATATGAGAAAAGGATTTTAAAAAGATATACATATATACACACATATATATATGGCTTCCCCAGTGGCTCAGCTGTAAGGAATCCTCCTGCAATGCAGGATACCTGGGTTCCATCCCTGGGTCAGGAAGATTACCTGAAGAAGGGAGTGGCTACCCATTCTAGTATTCTTGCCAGGAGAATCCCATGGACAGGGGAACCTGGTGGGCTACAGTCCAAAGGATCTCAAAGAGTCGGACTGGCTGAAGCGACTTAGCATGTGCGTGTGCGCACGCACTCACACGCATAGATATATGGGCTTCCCTGGTGGCTCAGATGGTAAAGAATCCACCTGCAATGTGGGAGACCGGGGTTTGATCCTTGGGTTGGGAAGATCCCCTGGAGGAGGTCTTGCAACCTACGCCAGCATTCCTGCCTGGAGAATCCCCATGGACAGAGGAGCCTGGTGGGCTCCATGAGGTCGCAAAGAGTCAGATGCAACTAAGTC